CCCCTAGAGGAGCGGCCTCCTCCGGCACGCCCAGCCGCAGCGCGCGGTACACGTCCGCCAGGTACCGCAGCAAGGCCCCCTCCGCCGCCACGCCCCCGCGCTGCCCCAGGCGCTCCGCGAGGTTCGCGAAGCCGCCGGAGGCGGCGCCGTCGTCACTGAGCAGCGCGAAGGCGATGCCTCGGATGCTGGCGAGACGACCCTCTGCGAGTGGTTCTCTTTTTGTGGGTCCAATACGGACAACCCGACCTTCCCAAAAAGTGAAAGTTCAAAGATCCAACCAAACAGCTCCTTAAAAATGAGCTCAGACACCCAAACTGGGTCTAGGTCATGACACCGTTAAGGGTCGTGGAGACTCCAGGTACACTCTTTGGGGAAGTTTAAAAAACCTCCCATTTTCAGGGCTCCCCTTTTTACGTCCGGGTGAAAGTAGATGGCACAACTCCCGTGTCGGTCAGGGGGGCGGGGATGCAACCACCAAAATGGGCTGGAATAGTGCCGTCTACTTTCACCCAACCAGTGGTGTGCTTTTGGAAAATGGACGGATTCCGGAAGATGAGAAGGAACCTGAAGCCGGTGCAAAACAGACCTATTTCCGGATGCAACCGACCTCAAAGAACACCTGTGGCACAAGAACCCCGCACAGGAGAACTCCGAGGCGTCTGTTGGCTTTCAGCCCTTGCCCAGAAAATGGGTCCACCTTTGAACAAATCTGCTTGAAGGTTGGGCCCTCGAGCCGCTTGCCTTGGCTCATGGGATTTGTTCAGCCAAGGTAGGCAACCAGCTGTTCCTGCGTTTGATTTCGCTTCCATTGGTTCCCTGGACTTCCTGTGTTTGCCGTAACGAAGTGCTGGATTCCTCCACAAGAACCGTGTCCGCAAAAACAGTGCAACACACTCTTTGAGGTCCAAGAGAGAAACTGAGCTAGGTTCTCCAGTAGAGAGATTAGAATAAGGGCACCCTTTTTTCTGTAGTCTGTTTGTAATAAAAGAACTCTCCCAACCAAAAAAGAAACGGTAAAAGTTGGCAACTAGCTGGGGGACCTAGGATGTTCAGTGGGCAGGAAAGAACAAGGAATCCTTTTCTTCGCTTTGGGAGGCTGAGAGCAACCAACAAAAAAAGGGCGGAATGGACTCTTTGGGCTCCGCTCCGCTCCCCTCTCTGCTTCGCAACCAAGGGCGCCCTTGGGCTGCAGGAACTGCGCGGGGACCCAGGGCTGTTGGCTGCGGAAGCGCCCGAAGGCGTCGAAGAGCAGCTGTTCCAGGCCCTCCGAATGTCCCGATTCCCCGAAACCGAAACCGGTTCTCAGTTGTTCAGTCGCCCTGGGGAGAAAAATAAAATAAAATAAAAAAATGGGAAGACCAAATTCCAAGGGTGCCACTGAACAACTGAGGGTTTTAGACCCAAACCTGTCTCAAACTTGTGGGTGGCCCTTTTTTTGGGTGGTCAAAAAGAGGCTTACCTATGATTTGTGTGGGTGGACTGTAACATATGCACCCAAAAGGGGACCCTCAAAAAGTGCCCAAACCAGATCCCTGGAAAACCAAGCGAGAGGTCCCCACGGAGGGGAAATGCGACTTTTCCAAGACGAAGACGGGGTGGAGTTGGGATCAGGTTGGGGTGGAGTTGGGGGTGGAGTTGAGGTTGGCGAGACGACTCCTCTGCAAGAAGAGTTGCTCACTCACTTTGTGTGGGTCCAATACGGGGGGGAAAAGAAAACGAGCCGTTTCAAGCTAAAGTCTAAAGATCCAACCAAATAACAAAGGGGTGGGATGCTATCTAAGAGACTAGCCCGCAAAACCAAACATGACATGGGACACCCATGCTCTTGCTGGGTAGTTGGCAAATGTCTGTAGAAATTCATGCAGTTGTCAGTGTTTGTTTTACGAAATGAGTCATAATCCGAACCTGGCATTTAGGAGTCTACCCAAGCCTACGTGCCATGTCGAAGCCACTTCTTTAAACTCTCTGCAAGCCAAGTCATTGCTTGCAAGGCAAAGCCAGCACTAGGCAACAGAAGCAATCATGGCATGTCCAGCAAACAACAAAACCCCCTGACACAAACCAGCACACAACATACCACGCAAAACAGGAACGCCGCCGAGCAAACACATGACCCGCAACAGTTTCATTACCGTTTCAGGATGTCCAAAGGTGTCCCTTCCTAGGGGGTGTCTCTTCACTTTGCGAACAGAGTAAACAGTGGCAGTTGTCCCTTTCAACGTCGACCAAAGAGGAGAGGAGAGCTCCATTGTGTTTGCACTCATTGCATTTCCCACGGAAACATGGCACCATTCAGTGGTGCAAAACTCCTGAGTTTCCATAGGTGTCAAAATAAGGGGACCCAACAAAATATTGGTCTCCTTTTTTTTGAGGTTGCTCCCATTAAAAAATAAAAATAAAAAATAGCCAGCTCAATCCAATTAGCCTCAGAGGATGCATGCACCAGCCACCTTCCTCTACAAGGACATCCCCTTCATCGGAGATTGTTCAACTGGCGCAACTGTATCCTTCTAGAAGCCTCTGTCACAGGCGACCTTTCAAGCCCATCTAAACCGTGACCTTTCAAACCCATCTATACCAGTGCCATCTATGTCTAACCAAGGAAAGTAACCTCTAGCTACTGTGCATGGACGAAATCCTGCAACACATTGAAACCTTCAGACACTACTGTTGGCCCTTACAGGGGAATCGAACGGGTTTCTGAACGGTGCTTCGAGAAATGGATTTTGCAACCACCCACAGTTCTGGGCCCCTTGACAAGAAGAGACAACTTGAGGGGGTCTCAAAACCAATTCTTTGCTGGGGCTTCCCTTGAAACTGCCGCTTGGAGGGTGATTCTGAGGAGTTCAAAGTCCCCTGCGACCAGCCTAAACCCAACGCCACTCAAAGGGGCAGGGTACGGATAGGAAGTGGTAAGACTGGTTGTAAGCCACTTAGGAGACTTATAACTATGGTATACCATGGTAAGTGGGTTCTAACCATGGTTTACCCACTTCCCAAGTATCCCCCCACCCCAACTTGCCCCGCCCTGCCTCCAAACCTACCCTAGGTCCTCCAGTAGAGAGAATAAGGGTACCCTTTTTGCTGTAGTCTATTTTAGTATATTTTAGTAGGGGAATCCTCCCAACCACAAAAAGTTGGCAAAAGGGCACCTAGCTCAAACCTAACCCCCCAGCCCACTCCACCCCTCAGCCGAACCTACCCCTTGAACCACCCCCCTCCCCCCAAAACCGCGCGCGCGCGCCTCCGGGCACATCAGCCGCTGCTCCGCCGCCGCGCGCTGCAGCGCGGGCGCCACGCCGCAGGCGGCCTCCGCCGCCGCCAGCGCCGCCCAGGGCCGCGGGTCCTGCGGCGCGGTGGGCCGCGGGGCGCGGTGACTTCCAGGGGTTCCAATTCCATTCTGAACCCAGAAATCTGCGGCCCAAGATTCCATTCTGAATCCCTGGGGTTAAAAATTCCAATTCCATTTCCGTTCTGAAGCCAGGGATCCGAATCTTTTCAGGAAAGCGTCTCAAAAACCCAGGTTGGAAACAGCCGGTTTTTGAAAAGAACGATGGTTGAAAAGAATGGGGAATCAAGCCCTAGATTACTGGGTACCTTCCTTTCAAAAGTTCAAATCACCGAACTCCCAATCTAAACCGCCAAGTACAAACTTCCTGAGCGGATTGGCCCGAAAACTTGGTTGACGTTGGAAGGGGAGCAAAAAAATATATTAGCAGTTAAGTGGGGATTTCCCGTTAAACCACAATCAGCAAAAATGTAAACTGTTTCCCAACAACAACCATGAAAAAGTCCCAACACTGATTATCTTTTTTATTATTGTTTTTATTTTTTGTGTTTTAATCTACCACTAAAATGGTCCAACCCCAAAGTGTCCAAAGTCCAGGAACTCATTTTGCGTGAGCCATTTGCTTTTTCGTCCCCTGAAAAAATGAGAGGAAATAAGTCCAGTAGTGATTGCTTCCCTTAAGAACCAGGAAGAAAGCAAAACAAACAGCATTTCAGCAAATGGAAGGATCTGGGTTGGTCTTTGGAAAGGTTGGACTCCCCCAAAATGGTCACAAAGACCCCTTCGGATAGGAGTCCTTGGTCAAGAAAGTGGAGCCTTGAGGCCGAACCCCGGATTTATCAGCCGTTTATATACATCCGTCCAGGATATCCCGCTACCTCTCCTTGTATCGCGCTCTTTCCAGGCTCGTATGGGCGCTCTGTAGCCGAACCCATTTTGGAGGAGTCCCCTAAAGAGATCACACACCTTTTTGAACTTTCAGCCTTCGCACAATCATGTGTGTATAAATATCTATAAGTGTGTATATATATATATATATATACGTAAGCATGCAGCGGGATACATCATAATCGGCTTACTTGATGTTCTACAGCCAGGCAGAGAGCCCTGTGGCCTTGAAAAAAGAACTGCCCGAACCCTTGAGCAAGCCCAACTGAACCGTCCTTCACACCTTAAGGAAACGAGGTTGGAAGTCCCCCAAATCCGTTCACGTAGTCCCGCCACAAAGAAACCAATGACAATATAAACGGAGACCTCCTGGGGCCACCCCCCGAACTCCTGCTAACTGATCCTGCTGGTTCTCACCACGCTCATGAGGTAGGAATTGACACTCCCAATGCCTTTCTGTCTTTGCCCTGGGGTTTGCTTTGGGCTTTCGTTGGGTTTTCTTTGGGTTCGCTTTGCTTTCCCCTTGGCTTCCCCTTCAGAGCGCCCCGTCCTGCGCACCTTCATCCACTTGCAACGCCGAGAGGGTCTGGGAGATGAAGAGGCTTCCGTCGTCCATTCTGGGCACAAGCATACCCACACACGGAAATCCAGATGTTCTCCTGAAATGACGCGCCCAAATCAGTAATGTGTGCAAGCCAAAACCATGTCCCTCCAATGGTTCAAAGGCTGAAGTGTGGGGTAAGTTTGGTATTCAGGAGCAAAACACTTCATGTTTCCGAACCCCTGGGTCAGAGGGCTTCCTGTTTTGGCTTAAAACTACCTCGAACAATGTCACCTCAACCCAATTTCGTTCCCACCCTACATATTCCAAAGAGACCGCCCTCAAAACTGGCAAGACAGGGTGGCATGTTGCTGCTATCATACCGCGAAACCTTCAAGTCAAGAGGCTGTCATCGGCAAACCCAGTGGTATCACGGAAGTGGAAAGGCTTAAACCCATCTACTCCCACACCCATGGCGTCTTGGTTTTACGAGATCAAAACTTGCTGGTGCTCAGGGAAGAAATGGAATGACCCCCAACCCTCCAACTTGTCTCCTTTCAGGGGACTGGATTCATTCGGCGGGTCGAAAGTAGGGTAACCCCAAAATGGGTTGCCCTACGAGGAAACATGGACTAAAAGCTGCGGTCCAATTCCTGCTGGTTTCATTTTGGCCAACAGTCATTCCGTCATTCCCTATCGCACCGGCGAGAAAGCCGGGGCGTCTTCCTCCGTGCGAGCCCGAGCTTCGGCACGGGCGCCGCGGTCTCGTTGGAGATGGGCTCAGCGCTAACCTCCGCGTCGGTCCTTGGAGTGAGGGCAACTGGTCTGAGGGCGTGGGTTCGGCCACGTTGGCAAGGGCTGAATATAAGGGGCAACATGGGTATGGGTCAAATCTAACCACCAGATGACCGCAGGTTGTAGTCCTTGATTCCATTTACCAGGGTTCCATTTTGGGTACCCATTTTTGACCCACAGCCACATATCATTAGACCGGCGGATGGTCAGTTCGGGTGGCATTCAACTAAATGAAGTCATGATGGGAATTTAAGATTAGCTCTAACTAGGTAGCGCCTAAACATAGGCACACTCCCTCCAACAATGGAAGCTGACGATCGGAGGTTGTTGGAAGACCACTTTCTTTTTGGGAAAGCGGTGGTTGGAAGGAGGGTATGTCAATGGGGAGCCATCTTCTGGCTTCATTATTCTATCATGATCAAAGTCATCCCCCCCAATTTCTGACTTTGATAATCCCTAAAAACCTCACTTCACGAGTGGATGGCCCAACAAAAGTCTGAACTTTTCGTATGCCACTAAAATGGCCCAACCCCAAAAAGTGACTCAAGTTCGAAACGGAACTCGGGAAGTGAGAAGGAGTGAAAATCCTGACCCTTAGTTTTCGGCATGAGGAAAAAGCAGAAAAGACACAAAGAAGCTAGGAGTCCTTCAGATGCACCCATGTGTGATCGTTTACTACAGGGACACGGCTTTGTGTCTCTGTGGGGAACCACACAAGCGGTGTTTTCCCTTGGCTGCCCCAAAAATTGCCGGGGTTCCCCCTATGTCTTGTTGCTTCCCCTGTGGTTTTTGGTGTCTTTTGGGGTGTTTCTTTGGTTTCCCTTTGAAAGCAACCTTCAAAAAGAGCTCCCCCCAAGAAAAAGTCAACACCCGCACGCCCCTCTCGGCCCCGAATCCGAATGAGTGTCTCGTAGCCCAAGGCCCGCAGATAGGTCTCCGCTTGGCGGCGCCAGAATCGCTTGGCTCCCCTGGAGATCTGGGCCGCGCTGAGCAGGTCCTCGATCTCACGCCTCCAAAGGATGCTACCCCCCCCCAAAAAAAAAGTGAGCAAAATAAAAAAGTACCCTCAAAAAAGGACATACCCATATGCCTTTGGTGCCAAAGCCATAAGGAAATGGCCGAAACATCATGGGTCTGGGGCTGAATAAAAACAACTGATCACGTTGTGGGCTACTCTGAAAGCGAAGAACATCATGATCATACAGGATGATACAGGACAATGGCCTTGATACTTGGAATGGAGTTATAAGTTTCTTTGAAACCGAATAACATCATCATCATCATCATCATCATCATCATCATCATCATCATCATCATCATCATCATCATCATCATCATCATCATCATCATCATCATACTGAAAATACAAACATGGGTGACAAAATTGGCATGGGTTGAGAGGTACTTTGAAACCGAAGAACATCATGATCAAACAGGGTCATACAGGACAATGCCCTTAATTATTGAAATGGGGTTGTGGCTTTGCCTTGCAACCGAATGAAATCATGATCATACCAAACATGTCCTAGATAATGGGCATGATGGGGTTATAAGTTACTTTGAAAGCAAATAACATCATGATCATTAGTGTATACTTACTCCGTATGGGGCGTGGGACACTCGGGGGTGGGGTCCAGTGGTCCTGTGGTCCCCCCGCCTGGGGGTGGGCGAGTTCTGGGCGAGCGCGAGACACTGGGCCATGGAGAGCTTGAACTGACCTGTGGGAAGAATGACATGAATCTCCAGAAAAATGGACGCCCATTATTTACTGGGAAAGTGCATTCTGGGAAGTCAAGGGTTCAGGGTTTAGGGTTAGCCCTCAAGTAGGGAGGATTCTGAAGGGCTTCTAAGAAAGATGGATCCCCAGGTTCATTCCCTCATTCCCTACCTATCGCAGCAAGTCTTCCATTCGAAGGCGCGCCGAGGGACTCTTTAAGGGCTCCGGCCGGCTCTGCTGCAGCGCAGTGAAGGTCTTGGAGGTCCAGTGCTGGTAGTTCCTCCTATACGCCGGGAGGTTTCCATGGGGGGTTAAACGTGTTTAACAGGACCCCTGAAAGATTGATAAACCACCATGTTTTCTTTCAGGAACCCTGTCTTCCATTTGGTTAAGACTCCTGAAAAATTAAGCACATTTCCAGTAGTGATAGATTCTCTTCAAAACCAACAGGGGGAAAAAAGTCTAAAACCAACAGGGGGGAAAACAAAAACATCTTAAGCAAATGGAAGCTGTCCAAAAGGTAACCATTGGCCCCCGCCAAAGTTCCACTGGCCCCTCCTGGGCGGTCTTCGCCACCGGGATGCGCTGGAGGGATCTCGCTTCTTCTTCTGCTCGAGCTCGCGGTTGTGGACCACCCAGTCCGGGTCCACGGCCACCACATCCCCCCGGTCATCGAAACCCTTCCTGGCCAAAGGGCTCCCGCGTCCGGAGAAAAGCGGAAGCTACCCAGGCGAATAGCCGCAAGCACCCAGGACCCACCCCTAAAAGACTTGGTCAGTTACAAAGGCCAATTGGGAGAGGAGGGCTTCCGGCTGTTCGACTGAGGGAGTGTTACAAAGACTAGGTCCTCCAGTAGAGAGGTTAGAATAAGGGTTCCCGATTTTTTCTGTAGTCCATTTTAATAGGGGAACCCTCCCCCAAAAAAGGGTAAAAGGGCACTACTGGGGGACCTAGCCTCCATTTTTTTCCCCGTGGTGACAGATTCCATTTAAGTCCAACAGGGAAAATACTTGCTCGTTCCATAGGCAGGGAGAGTTGAAATGACCCCGCGAAAGACCATCCCCGATTTGGCTTCCTTTGAGGGAATCCCGAAACGGCTCATTTCCAACACCCAGACGGTTCCCTACTGAGCACCAGCGAGATAACCAGCGTTTCAAACTGAAGAATCGCAGGGTACAAATATTGGCAACCCGCAGGGTTTGGTCCATGCTTCCACTTAGCAGGGTTGCATTTTTGGGTACCTACTGTGGGTGGACGAAATCCTGCTTTAGTTGGTAGACGGATAAGGAGGATAAATGCCGAAAAAGGGCTTAAACAAATTCCCCCCCCCCCAAAAAAAAACACTGATTCCCGCATTTGTTTTACTACATGTCCAAAGGCTGAATGATTTCGTCCATCCACACTGACCCACAGCCAACCTGATTTTTTTGTTCAATATGTCCAAAACCTGCAGATGTTTGTTCAATCAAAACCTGAAGTATGGCTTCAAGGATCTGGATCTTTACCCTGAGCTCTTCACCCAAGGCCGGTCCTCCCAGCCCGCCCGGCGATCTGGTGGAACTCCCGGGACCGCATGGTCCGCGTGTCCTGGTGGACCCAAGTATTTTTGGGTTCGAAGCCTCCCCTTGGCCGGTTTTCCAGGGAACCCAAAACGGAAAAAGCAGCCCATGTGGGGTTCCTGTGCGGGGTTCCGGAAAAAAAGAGGTCGAATTTTGGGTGGGCTCCCTCAATCTGGAGACAAACCCTTTTTTCGGTGAGTTGCCCAAATTTGGAGACAAACCCATTTGTGGGTGGGCTGCTCAAATTTGGAGACAAACTCCATTTCTTGTGCGTCCCCAGATTTCCAAATCAAACCCATATGCGTTTGTCAACTGAGTATGTCTTAGAGGATGCGTAACGCGTGACGCAGCACGAATCTTGTTACGGAGGTATGTAGCAAGGGTCCTCCTTACGCAGGCGTGTAACGGGTAAAAAGTACTTGACAAGTATTAGTAGCACACCCATGGAAAATCACTCAAGAAGTTGCGGAATGCACGAAGGTATGTGGGTCGTGCTACAAAGGTCTGTAAGGAATGTCCGCCATGGCTCCCTCCAAAAATCACTGCCATATAGGTTGTTCTCAAAACAGGCTAACAAAGTATGTCTCAAATAGGGGAACAAACAGCCCCCCAAAAGGGCACCCTCCAAAAAAGACAAGCGAAACATGAAAACCAGTTTCACTTGAAATATACGATGAGTTCTCATACACTTCAACCTTCAGATTAATGTTGACTCTGGGTTAATACACCTGTCCTATTAATATGGAGGTGTTCCCTCCCAAAGTAAGTTGAATTTCCACAAAAGAGGGAAAATCACCCCTGTGTTGTCATAAACGGGGTGGGGATGAACATCCGGATTAAGATTCTACCCGATTTGTGCATGTGTCGCTGCATGACACATGTCCATGGCTCCAAACCCCTTGCGCCTCCCCATCGAACTTGCAGAGCCTGCCAGGGTTGGGCCGGGGTGAAGCCCCGGTGCTGAATTTTTGGTGACCCGTTGACAGTCAAACGAAGGACGCCCATGAGGGCCTTGGGGCACAAAGGTCTCCACTACAAAGGGACCCCCTAGGTTGAAGCATTGCTTTTGAACCGCCCAAATCAGAGCTCGCACTGGAGTTGTTTTGCACCCCTAAGGTTGACTTGCCCGAACAAACATGGAACCTGCACATGGGGTCCTTTCGGAAAATGTCTTCCACTACCGTCGACCTTTGTGGACAAGCTCTTTTAGTTGCTTTTGGGAAGGTACTCCCTTGAAGCCCAAACGGTCGTTTGCTTTTTCGTCCCCTGGAAAAACTAAACATATAGTAGTGATAGATTCCCTCTAAAACCAACAGGAAAGAATAAAAACAGCTTCTGAAACATCAACGGAAGCACAAAAGGTTACCCTCGAACCCGTCTGCCTGGTGAAGAGCACGGACCGGATGGGCACGTTGATTCCCACGCCCAGTGTGTCTGTACCACAGACCAGGCCCAGCAAGCCGTCCTAAGTGGAACGCACCCAAACCTCCGAGTCAAAATCAAAACCCGGTATTAAAATGGTCCAAGCCCAGAATCATGCTTCGAGAATTGAAAAAGCGGACATCCGCACCCATTTGTCGATGGGATTGTCCCTTACTACCCTCCAATTACCAAATTCTTGATTGTGACTCCAGTACTAGTGAGTCAGCAAGCTTGCCCATTCAATGGGTACATTGGGACTTCTTGTGCTAACCGTTTCTTACTCACGTCGCTCGATATGAACCAAGACCCTCCAAACTAAAAGGATTGCAAACTCTGAGACAAAGCGTAGGTCCTCCAGCAGAGAGGTTAGAATAAGGGAACCTTTTTCTGTAGTCTATTTTAGTAGGGGAGCCCTCCCCCAAAACGCAAAAAAAAATGGAAAAAGGGCACTACTGGGGGACCTAGAAGCGGTGTAGTCTACTTGCTTACAGGATAGATTCAGACAAGTGTGCCTTTTTGGCCTGATTTTCTTGTTGGAAACCCTCCAAAAAAGAAGGGAACAAGGCCTCGCTGCAGGTCTGGGTGCAACAGCCTCAAGAAGGACACATGGGGTGCTTATGAGCGAATTGGCCACAACAAGTGCGGAAACAGGTAGTTTGCCACTCAAATGTTCGTCCCAAAAGTAAGTCCAAAAGTAAGTCACACTCAAGAAGTGAGCGGACTGCCTGCACCCCACCCACCAAAACCCCCCCCCCACCCACCCACCACCCACCCCACCCACCTATCTACCCCCACCTACCCCCCCGGTCCTGCGTGAGCTGCTCTACAAGCCGCCGGTAGCAGGGCAGCAGCCCCGCGTGGTGCACCCCCACCCCGCAGAGCAGCAGCCGCTTCCTCAAAGCTGGTTGGCTGAGGCGGATTTGTTGCGGCCAAGTTAAGGCCGTTTCTGAACTAGGTCCTCCAGACTTGAGAGGTCAGACAAAGGGGATCCGATTTTGTTGCTGCCTATTTTAGGCCGAGTTCGGGCCGTTTCTTCATCCATCCGTGTCATGACGCATCTCGGTGGCGAAATCTGCTCCCCTGCTGAAAGTTAAACCTTGGTGGTTTAATTCGGAAAACCCAGTAGGTGGCAAAAAGCTAAAGTCCTGACATCCAAGCAAAATGCACCAAAGGTTCTATGAGGCCGAGTTAAGGCCGTTTCTTCATCCATCCGTGTTGGGACAAATGGGTTTGTGGGGTTCAATCAAAAACTTGTATTAAATTGGTTGACCCAGAACCATGCTTCAAGAATTGTCCCTTACTAACCTTCAGCTACCCAGACTTTGATTGTGGCTCATTTGGCCGTTTCTTAATCCATCCGTGTTAGGACAGATGGGTTTGTGGGCGAAAACCAGGCCGAGTTGGCATGAAACCTCCGTTTCTTTGGCCGATGTCATGGTTTCCTTAATAGGCATGGTTCCTTGCATGGGAATCAATTTCGAATGGTTCTTAAGGATCCTTGGCTTGATGACCATGCCAACGTTGACCAAGTAAAGCTGTCTTCTGATCATGGTTTTCGCAGACAGACCAAAAGGACAACCAACAGTATTTGGGTGTCATACGCTCATAGGTGTCCTTATTTGTTGGTTAGGTGCACAATAGATGGTCCCGGTTTGCCTGGTGCTTCAATCACCTACCATGGCTCATGGCTATCTATTTTCAACCTCACCAACCGGTCCCCCTAATTTGACACATGGATCCTCAAAATAGTCTCCCCTTATAAATGGTTGGTTTTCCAATCAAAAGGGGGTTCAACATTTTGAGAGACGCCCATATGAGGTCCGGCGTAAAAGCCCCGTGGTCTCACTTCCTGAATGGATTGGCCCAAAAAAGTCCGAACTGGTTGAGCTCTGGACAAACCATGGTTGGAACAAACCCTTCTTTCTGTGATACCGAAGTAGGCCATCCTCGTGCCGGTTTCCCTTGGTATCACAGACGTTGGAAAATTGGGGGTTGGCGCCGCATGTGCTCCCGAAACCAATAAAGGGACCCTTTGGTAGACATCATTGAAGTAAATGTCTTCCATGTCCTTACAGAACTCCTAGTAGCTCTCCCTCCTGGGATATTTTGCGATACAAGCTCCCCGCTCTTTTCCAACCAGCCTGTTTTTTGAGACATCACCCCAACAGAAGAGGCCGCGAAAAAAATGCGGATCTTTGAGCCGCCCGACTTTTTCCCTCGAAATCCCAAGACCCCACCCCCGAGGCGGATCGAATCCCGGCGAGCGGCAGCTCCGCCCCGAAGGGCGAGCCGAAGCTCGCGCCCTCCACGCGCGCCCGCCGCGCGCCGCCGCTGCCGTCGGCGCCGCGCCAGGCCGCCAAAACCGTCGAGTCGGCCAGGAGGCGGGCAGTCTGCAAGGCCTCCGGACGAGGAGCTTCAGAGGAACCGGTGAGGGACTCTCCAATTTTCTCAGAAAAGGAGATGGTACCCTGTAAAAATGAGGCTCAACCAACAAGGAAGTTTTGAGGGATTCTGAAGGCGAAAATAGGCAAGTCTCCACTTTGGGTGAGAAAAAAAATGCCATGATCTGTTGGTGTCCATGCAAATCCTCAGAGATGCGACCCTTGTTTCGACTCTAACAACCCTACCCCAACCCTGGCATGTCCCTCTTTGGGTGGCTTAAACCTGCACCTTTCGGTGGCCAATTTGAAATCAGCTTCTCTTTGAGAGAGCTTTGCGAGGGGGAAGGTTGGTTAAAAACAAGAAAAACTCCACTGGCTGGTGTTTGGACCCTCCCAAACTAGCTCATTTGCTCCTTATGCGGTAAAACCCCATCCCCGAAAGCTCATTCATGATGATTTGGGCCCTGCCTCGAATAGATCAATCCCCAAACACGTGGTCCTGCTGCTGCACGTGATACTGAACACAGATGTCCTGACAAGTTAGTAAGTTCTTGCTGACTGAGTTTTATCCAGCTCGTGTCCCCAAAGCTTCAGATGACCGTGTAGTGGGTGACCCAATATGACACCTCCCTATCAGACATCCACGTATGCCAGGTGCGGTAAAAGCCCCAAACACCCCCGAAACGCCGCCCCCGACCTCCCACTGGGAGAAGTGCACCACATAGACCGGCGCCCGTTTTGAGCGCAGCATGTCTTCTATGCAGGCGGCGACCGAGGCCTCGCCTCAACGTGTTGCTGGAGGTCTACCCCAACAGGCAAAAAGGGCAAAAACAAAAAAATAAAGGTCATCCACAACAGATCCATATGCAGTCCGTATATACAATACTCTTAAGCAAATGGGTGTTGAAGGCACCTATGGCTTCTGGCTTACCCCGCTCGCCGAGGTGCTATAGCTAAAACGCAGCGGCACGGGCCGCTCGGTGGAAGAAACCACGCGCACAGGAATGCCAGACCGCTCCTGGGAAGATCCACCCCGCCGCAGGCGGTTTATGCTTGCCCATTAAGAGGGGGTACCCTATCGAACAGGGACTTGTTCAGGGTAAGTTCCTGAATGGACAAAAACATGGACGCGGCCAACCAATCAAAGCCAACCAACGGGTTAGAGGTGAACGCCCATTTTTCCATGGGCACCACTCAAACCCGCGCCAACCCCTTTTTCCAGGGCCCCCTTTACGTGCGTTTTGACTCGTCCGAGACGTTGGTCCTGCAGGGTGCGAAAGAGCCGGTCGTTTCCTCAGGTGTTCAGTGACCCTGGAAAAAATGGGAGCCCTTTTTGGGGAGACCAATTTTTTGGTGGGGCAGCCACCAAAAACAAGGGGAAAAGGGTGCCACTGAACAACCATAGGTGGCCTTTTGGAAAAATAGATGAGCTCAGATGAGTTTCCCTGGTAAATGGAATAAACCCCATCCAAACCTGGAAAGCAAGCCAAAGGAAAGTTGAACCATACCATCCCTCGATTTTTTAAGCAAACCAAAAAGGACAGCTATGTGAACTGAGTCTCGGCCCAGCGTGCCGGACATCAGCAGGAACCGCGCGCCGCGCAGGCCGGGGCCGCGGAACTGCCGGCTGAGGCGCCAGAGAGGCATCTCCCAGGCCCAGCCGCGGTCCGCGTCGCCGAAGTAGTGGAACTCGTCCTGACGGGTGCCAAAGATCCCACAAGGGAAGATGAAAAACATATAGGGAAAAGCGCATGGAAAAACATGTCGTGGAAAAACATGTGAAAAAAGATATGGAAAAAGAAGGAACAAGTTGAAAAGGCAACATTTGGAGCAACAAAGATGGAGAAAAGGTGTCACTGAACGGTGGCGTGCTCCAAAAATGGCTACAACCAGGATTGCGACTTAAGCGATTTGTCCCGGACCATCTACATGCGACCCCGAAATGCGGAGGTTTTCCACTCCAGCGGTCCATGACCACCGCGGAGATGGCGGCGCACGAGGCATCACGCAACGTCATGCTGGCCAGGACCTCGGGAAAACGCAGGCAGACCAAAAAAGAACAAAGAAACAATATGGCCATGGGTCAAAATCCAAATCGTACCCCCAGTGAACATCCCAATCCCCACTAAAATGGGTTCTAAAATGGGTGGTGCACCTACCCCAAAATGGTGACCCACAGCCATATAGCCTCCAATAGCCTAAAACCCCAGAAGTGGTACCCTACATGGGCTAGAATCAAAGAAACACAAAATTGGGATAGAGGGCAAAATGTGAAGTATGGGTATTTGTCAAAATGGGGGGACCCCAAAAATGATTGGTATCCTTTGGTCCTCAACACAAATACCCGCATGTGTGGTCATTGCTCGCTTGTTCGGTGGTGTTGGGGCTCAACAATAAAACAACAGAAACCCCAGCCGCACGATTGGGTGTCAATGTGCAACACCGCGTGCCTGATGGGGGCGAATCACACTTATGCAACCTGAAAATGCACCATGAACTTCCCAAATGAGTCACAATCAAAAACATGGTACCAACAGAAGCCGGCAATCTAAAATCCAACTTTCCGCCAGGCTCCTCAGCGAAGGAATCGCCCCACCCCGGAGGCTTCAAGATCAAGTCTCCGAAGCCAAGGCGCTTCTGCTGTGCAGCACACCACGGGAGCCTCACGAAAATGGACATGCGCGCGCCACAAATCGAGCCCCCAAGCCCCTGGCGATGTGAGTCCGTGTGTGGGGTTAGGGGAGCAAAACTTAAATTTTCGCAGTGAAGTGGTTGGATTTCAACCACTAAACCACAATATGCAAAAATGCAACATGTGTCCCGTTGCAACAACCAATGGGATTCTTCTAAAATCCGATAGGAACCCGACTCACTTTGGGCGTCCGATCCCCAGCAGCCCCAGGCAAACAGACCGCACGTTCGCCTTGGAGCTTTGCCCGAACTGAAGTGGGGGTTAGATGGCGAACCTTTGACACTTTGAACACATTTGAAAGTGTCAAAACCACTCCTGGTGCTTTGTGTTCCATCACCCTAACAAAAATCCTCTGCCATCGCGTTGCGCAGGATAGGGATTGGATTGGGCGTCTTCCTCGTGGTTTTCCGATTTCGACATTGTCCCGAAAGGGAGTGCCGGTTTGCAAGGTGCATTGAGCCCAAAAATGGGAGGGGGTCCCCACCGGGGTCCTCGAATTGGACAATGAACTCCCTCAATCTTGTCAACTCTGTAGAGGGTACTTTGCCCCAACTAAAACTCACATGTCTGATTTTGCTCCATATTGAGTGAACCTCCAACTCCAAGAAACCATATATATATATATATTTATATTTCTTATATTTACATATAATTGTATATAAATATGTATTGCACACAAATCACACTCCCCCCAAACCTGCAGAATCCCCACCCACCCAAGTCCCAAGCCCCCCCACTTCGCAAGGCCGGTGGGCCCGATGGCCTGGGTGTTCAAGGACACATCCCCGGTGGCCATGCCCACCTTCGCCGCTCCGAAAAAGGAGCAGAGGTCGAAGAACTTCTCGCTGGTCAGGGCCTACTGCTCGCGTTGCGTGCGCGATCGAGGGGGCGGTTTTTGGTTGGGAAAGTTCTGGGCGAGTGAGCAAAATCTAAGGGTTACTTCGGGTTCTGACATGCAAATGCATTCCCTGATTTGAAGCAAAACGGGTGAAACGTCAAGCGACTGCTCAGTTCGGCTTTGGATGTCAAACAATACTGTGGAAACATCACGCAATTTGGGACTATTTCAGAATTCAGAAAGTGTCTGAAAGTGCTGCGGCAAGACTTGCAAACATGGAATGGTTGACGCCAATTTTCGCCCACCCCTCGCCTTGGTGGGGGAAGTGTAGTATGCTTTGCCTCAGCAAGCAGGCAGCAAGGCGGCAAGTCGAGTGCTTGACATCCCGCTGAAACTCTGTGGCCCGCGACTCTCTTGGGACGAGCCAGGTTGAGACTTGCATCCAAGAATCACAGAGCACAGAGGCCGTGAAAAGGGAGGTTGGTGCCCTTCGAGTTGGAATGCAACATCTATGGCTGATAGAAAGAGGGAGCGAACCTCATAGTCGGGATCCGGATTGGAACCCGAAGAATCCACTAGGCTGGTCAACAGGAAGCGGCGTTTGTATGGTTTCAGGGAATCCACCAAAGCCGGGACAAACGGTAAGGAACGGCAGGTGACTCTGAAGGACAACACGATGAATATGCAAGTAATTTGAGCACCTATTGTTTTAAGCGTATCTCTTTTGGTTTCCGCTTCCCTTCTTTTTCTCACAACGGCCGGGGTCTGGTTTCAACAAGCTTTGCCCAAATGGCTATGCGTTTTAATGGAGAACACACAAATTCCAAAATGATCTCCACCAAAGGGGCCGGGACTTCTGCCGCATCAGACCCAAATAAACAACTGTCTGCTACTTTCTGATCCCCTTTTGATTGACGTTTACAGGGACACCGAGGGAAGCTTTGCCACAAGCTTGAATTTGCTTAAGTCCCCTGGACAAAAATAACCATATTTCCAGTGGTGATGGATTCCCTTTAAAACCAACAGGGGAAAATAAGACATATTCTTAATCAGGTGGAAGGATCCCTTTCCCGCTTTCCCGTCGTCCGAAGCGCCACCTTCCGCCAGGGCTTTGAAAAGCGCCGCCACCGCCACCAGGCTCTTGCCACTGCCCGTGGGCGTGTCCAGCACCACGTGGCAGCCCGAGAAGATGTCCAGGATGGCCTCCTCTTGGGCCTCAGCTAGCCTTTGGCTTTGCGACCCCGGGAAAAAAATAGAAATATGTCTAGATTCCCTTTAAAACCAACTGTGGGAAAAAAGGGGGGGGAAAAAAAAACAACGTATGCTTCAGCAAATGGAAGTAGCCCTGGACTTGAAGGAGTTGACACATATGAACCCTCAGGCGGAGCAAACATGACACGCAGAAAGACGCCAGACGTGCAACGCGACATGAAAACATGAAACTTGTTATGCTGGTATCGTATTGGATGTGTCAAAATAGAGTGGATGGAGGAAATCCTGCACCACTTTGAAACCATGGTTGAAACCATAACGTTGGTATTTACGTTCAGGAATCGAATCATTCCAGGGATTCTAAACGGTGGTGCGAAGTGGATTTCGTCCATCCACAGTCGCCCCCCACTTTGGGTTTCTTAGGTGAAACTGTTTTTTGTGACCAGCTATTGTTTTACTTTAGACTTTGGTGAGCCCCCCTCCTCATGGTGCACCCCTTTACTACAAAGGCCAGTAGGAAAACTATCTGGCCCTGTTGAATCTTGAGGTGGCACCTGTATTTCCTCATGGTAGCGAGTGTGTTCCGTTTCAAGAGATGACAAAAAATACTGCCCTGCCTCCCAGATAAAAAGCCAAAAAACCACCCACCGAATGCCCACCGAGTTGCACCAAGAAGCAACCACCAACACTTGGCAAGCCAGATCCGACAAAGGAAACTCCAAGGGCAAAATAATGCTTTGTCAAAGAATGCAAGAACCCATGAAGAAGTGGGAACTCCGCCGGCTATGTCTGATCACCAATCACCAACCATGCTTCGTCCCACCAACACATCGAGTTGGTTGCAGAACAAACACCGTGTTTGAGTCGATGAAACAACCACCCCCAACAAATCTTGTTACAGTCAGTGTTCCAACCATTGGCCTAAGAACGATCCCACCGCGCGCCGTCCACTTTTCCGGGGCCCTCGCGCGGTAGAGCTGCACGCCCCGCTCCTCCAACGCCTCCAGAAAGTTGAGCAGCAGCTCATCACTTGAGGCGTCCTGTCACCAACGGTTCCTTTCGCATCCCAACGAATCAACTCCCAGGATTGTGACCAAGTGTCAGGTCCTCTCGGCGGTTTGGATTAGTGGTTTGGGGGTTTGAAGCCCTGTTCCTTTTGAAGCAAAATGGGGAAGGTACCCAACGTCCAAACCACCAAGCCAAACCGGGAAGATGCTGGACGAGAAAGCACGCAAAACAAGAGGCGGTAAACCGCACACATGAACTAACCCGCCAAGTAAAGGACCTTCATCATGAGCCGAATCGCTCGTTTTACCCCGGCGCTCGCCACATAGGTGGCAACCTGAATACTACACCTTGTCCCGTCACATGGGTGTGTGTGTGTGTCAAAAATGGGTACCCAAAAGACCCAAAATGGACCCCTGGGTAATGGAACCGAGGACTAAAATCTGCGGTCCCCTGGTGGTCTAATTTTGAGCAGCCACATCCTCCCAGCCTCTCCTTGCTCTCTGGCACATACTGCAGCAACCATGGCGCCGCAGCTGGCTCCCCGGCCTCGCCGGCCGCCTCGCTGGCCTCCTCACTCGTCGCCCCTTCGCGGGCCGTCTCGCTGGCCTCACTCGCTCCCGTGGTGCTCTCCTCAGGGTTTGACCAGCGGTTGCGGGGCAAATGACTGCAAGCAACCAACCAAAAAAGAGGATCCCCATGAAAAAACCTTGGGTGACGTAGCCAACCCCCCCGCTAAACACCGTGACGGCGTTGAAGATTGGACCTTCCTGTGGATGGACGAAATTCATTTCGCACCACCCAAAACAAACCTGGAGCGATTCGATTCCCCATAAATACCGACAAACAACGGTTTCAACTTGCAACATCATGGTTTCATTTCGTGGTGCGAATTGAAGGGATTTCGCAACCATCAAGAGGGTGCGGTTGCTTCGGCCAACTTGCCTCGCCGGCCGACTCTGTGTCCACCACCACTGGGTCGCTGGTTGCCAGGGCCCGCCGCCGCTGGAAGCGCCGGCCAAGCACCAGCAGGGCCGGAGCCAGTCTGGTGCCCCGTCTGAGGTCTTTGACCTAAGCGAAAACTGCCCGAGTTTGGAGGATGAACTTGACCTCAAATCTCATGGACCCTGTTGGTGTTTCCTTTTGCTGACGTGTCTTTGTGTATTTCCTTTGAGGGACATTCTTTGTGACTACTGGAGTCTCCATGACCCTTAAAAAATAAGGTCATGGACCCATGTTATAAGCGGCATGGAGACTCCAGGTACTTTCTGGTAGCGATTGGCAAATCGGGCAGTACAGAAATGTTGTTCCCAAAATTGCTTCCTTGCTTCCCACCCTGACAAGACGAAGGCGGAGGAAACACAGAAAAGCCCATTGTGTATTGTTTTCGGTGGGAAAAAGCATGGCTGCCCGTCGGTGAGAAAAGCCTGACTAAGCCAATGCTAAGCCGATATTAAACCAATTCTAAACAGTACTGGGCCAGCTCGAAGGAATGCTGGTATCCTTTACTGATCACTCCCCTACATTAAAACACAGATGTGTCTCTCAAAAAGCGAAGTCCAGGAACTCAGAGAGCGAGACAAATGTGTCCAAAGGCTTTCACGATCGCACTGAGCTGACATGCGCCGGCCGAGCTTGTATGGGATGTTTGACGCCTTGCTATTCGACTAGGGAACGCTGCAAATCCTCGGTTGCTGCGGTTGCTTTCTGCTCCCCTGCTACAAGCTTAACTTTTAGTGGTTTAATGGAATACCCATTGGTTGGCAAAAAGCTAAAGTCCTAACATCCAAGCAAAATGCACCAAAGAATCCGTGCGTCCAGCGCAGAACCCCAGAGCCGTCAAGGCCAAGCAGCCCCGCCCTTCGCTGAACGTCCACGTGGCGGAGCTGCCAAGGACGAGGCGAGCCGCGCACGCGCCGGCGCGCGCAGGGGGCGCGGGGATGGCAACTCCATGCCGAAGTTGAAGAGCTGTGACCTGTGTGCCACCTTCAGGTGCCTTTCTTGGTCACTTGTGTTGCTGTGGCTGCGATATACGTCTGTGATTTAGGCCTCGGTCGATTGTTCATCGCCACATCCCGAGATAGGCGCGGCGTTGGCCTTGAAATAATGCTTGTCTATGAAAACGACGCGTAGGCCAAGGCCAAGACTGCCCGCTATGTGTCTGTGTGTGTGTGTGTGCGTGTCTTAGGTGTTTAGCATGTTCAGCCAGACTTTTTTCTTGGATGCAGCATTGCCAGCTTCTTGAGCTAGACTGCATGCAATTGAGGCGCTGCAAGGCAACCAAGAACACTTATGATGTCAATGATGCACACAGGCTGCACGACCTCTCGTTGGACGTGTCTAGCACAAATAGCATCGACCGTCTCAACCACCCCGAAGCAAGCTGCCGTTTGGACCATGGTAGCCGTTTTGGGTTCTTTGAAAGGGACCACCAAAGTAACCCCCCCTCCCCGGGCCCCTTTCGAGGCTTCTTCAACAGCGCTCCGTCTAAGGATTTCTTCGTGGCGTCGTGGCGAAGATGAAGCCGATGTTGCCCTGCATGATGTTCCGCAGCTTGTCCAAGCCAGCCTATCCGGAGTGAGGGCTTTTTGGACTCAACAAACACCTGCACTCAAAATGGATCGGCCGATCCGAATTCTAACTTTGAAGGAGCCACGAAGAGTAATTATCTCAGACGGGTTCAGTCTCTGAGCACATGAAAGCACACCATCTAGCAAGAGTATCGAGAATTGTGGCGGAGCACCATCTCTTAACTTTCTAGGTCCTTTAGTGGGTGCCTTTTTTTCTGTAGTCTATTTTAGTAGGGGAACATAAAACCCCAACCAAAATACCATCCTCCAAAAAGGGGAACGGGATCGGCACCGGCCTTTCCCCCGCTTTCCCCCGGCTTCGCGAAGCCCAGATGTCCCCGAGCCTCCGGGTGCTGCTCGTGGCCGATGGCCAGGGCCTTGCGGATCATGGTGTTCTTGCCTCGGCCAGAAGCGCGCAGAGCTACCGCCCACGGAGCGCGGAGCGGATGCTTTCCCTGGACGCGCGCGACCGGGGGCCTGGACGCGCCAGTAAAGGAGAAACCAAAACCTGGGGGGGGCGGGTTTCCTGTGACACGCAAGCAAGAGCTTGCGAGTTCAGTGGGATGACGTCCTATGGTGAGGAGTCAAAGTCCCTATGCCTTTGGGGATTGCAGTATTTTCCTGAAAGAACTCGTCCAATAAATGGGTCTCTGTGTGTGTGTGTGTCTTTTTTGAGTCGGTGCCCCCCATTTTGGCCGGTTTAAAGGGAAACCAAAGTTGTTTAAGGGAAAACCACCGTTTTAGGGGGTCGTCCCCAAAAAAAAGACACGCCCACATATTAAATGCCATGACTTCGTCTGAGTCCAGGGATCAATCATGGTCTGTGCTGGGCCAGACTTCGACCTGCAACACATTGATTGTTTGCTGGTTGAAAGAGAACATGATGGAAATAAACATGTCAAAGCATAGGTGACTTTTGGAGAAAAAGGATGGATTTGTGTGGCAAGTGGAACAAAACAATCTAAATCAATGGAACCCAAAAATGTCTGACCAAACTAACCCATAAAGGACACCTATGGTCAAAAAGGGAAGCTAAGCCTGGCACTGTGTGCATGAAAGAAAATTCTCGCCTTGAGCTCGAAATGCGCCCAAAGTGATGCGCAATAATTACATCTGCACGTGTCGCAGAGCCATGGTGTTTGTTTGTAGGAACCTTGTGGATTTCTGACTCCCAAGGAGAAAAATCCATCCACTCGTCATCTTTAGCAGCAGGCAGGTCTTTCTGCCGTGGCAGAAATTCAATCGCAAATTTACCATGATTCACCAGAAACTTCATAGAAACCACCAAACTCCTTTGTGCAGTCGATATCCAGGGTTGATCCACCCGACGCTCAGAGTCGCAGGAATGCCCATGTCTCTTTGCCGAGCCGCCCATGAGCACCGTAGCCTTGCCTCGCAGCTCCATCCGGATGTCCTCGCTGAAGGCGCAGAAGCAAACCAGCGGAAAGACGTACACATAGAATCAGACTGGCCCTAGCTTTCATTTACGCAGCTTAATTGCGGCTCAATGGACCTGCGTTCCGCGCTGCCACCAGAATCCCCGCGGACTTGCATTGGTCCGTGGGCAAAGCTAACTAGACTTGCTTGCCGGTGCGGAACACGCACAGCAAAGCTGAGACACGAACAACGCGTACGTGTATATGTATATGTGTATGCATGTTGTATATGCACGTGTAGATGCATCTGTATCATGCAAATGCATGCATCTATGAATATATGTATCTGTATGTCGTATATACATGATATGTATTGTGACAATCTACTTTCACTGAAGGAAACGAGCTCGTGTCCTTCTGGGAGAATCAGCATAGCTCGCACTGAGCCAAGCAAGGAACCTCAATGGGCTTTCCATCGCGATCCTGTGAGGTCAAACAGATTGGCCTGCAATGAACGACTCCCCTTGAGTGAAATATACATCGCCAGAATGGGGTTGTGGGGTACGTTGGTCATGATTAGAGGCAGAGGACATTATATTAGTAAGTAGTCTATAAGATCGCTTTTAGCTCACAGGTTACAGTGGGTTGCAGCAGGCTTATTGTGGTTGGTTGCCTTCCTCCGAAAGATCACCTAAGTTGGCAAAACTCCCCTCCCTGTGTCCTGCATCTGCTTAGAGGCGATGTTGTCAACGCCTGAGATGCTATGAGACTGGCAATCTGCACTGGTGCCGGAGATCCATGCATCGGGCAGATACTCTTCTGAAATCAAAGTGGAAACCCCGAAATCATGTGCATGACACACGCAAAGTACACTACACAGTATGCGTGCATTCGTTTCAGTTGCGCTACCATACTAAATACGCTGTGTGCATCTTATTTTTGAGGTACCACTTGCGAAGGGCTTGGAGCCCTTTCCTTAAAGGGTTCTCCTATTTAAACATATACCCATTGGTGTTTCAGGGTGCCTTCTCTTTGCCGAGGTGCCTTCTCTTTGCCACGCGCTTGAACCCCGGTATCGACGAATCCCAAGCAAGGGTTCTGGAGACATTGCGACCCAAACTTTTTCATGGGCTTGTCCAAACAATTAGGGAAATCCCCACATGTTCACCAACCAAAAGGGGGTTGCCTCAAACGAATAGATACACTCAGAGTACCGCTCCGCCCCCAGTCAACTGTGGATGGACGAAATCCATTTCGCCATGAAAAAACGGTTGTTTGTTGGGGGAATCATCATTCCAGGGTTTCTTCTGTGGTGCGAAACGGATTTCGTCCATCCACGGTATGTCTCGTAACGGCCATGTGTGTCACTTCCAGCGAGTCCCCAACTCTCACTGACAAAACCTTAGACTGTGGGCTTGACCCAATGCTAACACAATTGCCCAGATCATTGGTTGATCGAAGCTCCTGAGAGAGTTGACACCCTGGCGATTGCCTCTGTAGCTCGTCATGGCTCTCTTTTGCATTGTTTGGAATTTCCCCCCGTGGACGGCCTCCCTGTGTGATTAAGTATGGTGGATGTACAGATTTACTCGCAATGTCACTTCCGCCGTTCTGGCCGCTAGCCAAATCTCAGGTGTCCACCTCTCCGAACCACCGCGCAAGAGTTGGCTTGCGCAACCGCGAAGCGTGGAAGACTGAATCTTAAGAACCGCCTTCGGGATAGATTGTACTTGGGGCGCCGAAAGGACAAGAACCATTGTCTATCTCAGCGTTTCTCCCAACAAAACTATGCGGGATTCTTGAGAGAGAGTGAGCCTGAAAATCTCACTTCCCGAGTAGAAACTTCAACTTCTTTACCAGCAGTAAATGGACTCCCCCAACAGCGACTTCAGTCCAAGAACTCAGCGTTTGAGAAGTATCAAACAAGTTCGAAGAAGATCTGGCCATGGGTCAAAACAAATCGGATAGCGCTCAGTGAACATCCCAATCCAACCACTAAAACCGGCTATCTAAAATGGGTGCACCGAAAACCCCCAAAATGGTGACCCACAGCCAGCTCAGTTTTCGGAGTCCCGGATTCCCGAAGTTCCCCTTCCGGGCTCGACGGCCGGACTGCCGGCAAGGAGCACACGAGCAGCGCATTGGGCGTGTTAACGCAGAGGTTGATCAGCTTCTGGAAGTACCTGCACGCGCCAAAAAAAGAGGTGCACACCACCCTGGCTCTTGGGGGTAGGTGTCCTTTTTGGGAAAATAGACGGGTTCCCCTGGTAGTTGATGGAACCCCCACATAAACCAGGAATCGCCCTCTATTGTTCGACCAATTGAACCAAAAAGGACACCTATGGGCTTGGGACCCGTAGGGGCTACATACCTCCAGCTTCGGTCGGGTGAGCTCGAAGGAATCCGCTGGCGCACGCGTTCTTCTTGGCGAGCTTCTCCTTGTTGGGCATCCTAGCGGAGAGACGTGCATCCCAGACCCTTCAACCCAAAAGCTTAGGCCAGCAATAAGAACAGTAATAATCGTAATAGTCGTTCTCCAACCTGAAACCACGAGGGCTCAAACCTCTGTAATGAAGTCGCAAATCCCTTCGCGACTTCGATATCTCTCTCACTCGCCCAAGTCGACCCACGGAACAGTCTAGCTGAGCCAGACTTGGCCACCCTTATCTGCAAAAAGCGAACTCTTGCTGGTTAAACGGGACAATGAAGAAATCCCAAGGGCAAAAAGGCAAAAGGCTAAACTAAGCCTGGAATGCATGATGCGCATCAACGCCAAACTCAAGAAACGGCAACTCGCCCGCCGCAACTGACAATATCTGACCATCGCACGCAGTGGGTTTCGAAAGCTTCACGCCCGTGACGTCCTGTGAGACAAATAGATGGCACTGAGTGTTTTGACCACTGAAATCTCTGGAACCCATCCAAAAAATCAGGGGCGCCTTGGGTTAGAACTGTAGACGTCTCAAAATGGGAGGGGAAACCACAAAAAGCAGCTTTCCTTTTCCCTTGAAGGAAAGGCAATGCTCACATCCGACCGACCCCAAACTGTGTGCCGCTCCTGACTACCTTGCCTCTGGCAAATAGAAGAGGGGGCGCGTGTTGTCGAGCTGAAAACCGCTGCAGATTAAGGCTCCAAGAAGGATCCTTGCTTCCTGCATGGATTAGCCAAAAAAAGTCCAACATGTTTGTTTGCCACTAAGATGGTTTTCCCAAGAAGTATAAAGTCCGGGAACTCAGGAAGTGCTTGGTACCTCAGATATGTGGGGACTTTGCAATTTGGGAAGTGAATTTTGCTGTTTGCCAGGGCAAGCCATTTTGGAGTCACCCCTGTATTTTTGACCACCACACCCAAGTCACCGGACAGCCCAGGCATGGTACAACATGTTTTTCGGGATGTCTAGACAGGAGAAGGCGACGTGCCCACACAACTTTCGAATTCCAAGATTAGTACACGGAATGCCTGGTTGAGCATCCGGCTAACAAATGCTGACGATGCTGACGGAAAAAAGAGCGCATGCAAAATGAATTGCACTTTCCTTTCTGGCTCAGTGTCGGCTCGGGTGCATGTCTTGTTGGTTGCTCAGCTAAAATGGACAGGAACAGCATTGGCATCTTGCAAGCAGGTTCTGCTGGGCTGGTAAAACTCTTAGCCCCTTCTCCTTCGAAGTCCCCTCAGCGGAGTCCACTCTCGCCCAACTGGGTAAACTTAATAACTTGGCGTCACATCCAAGTAGCTGTCTTTAACGCTCCCCCCCGAAATTTGGCTCTTGCAACTGGAATCCCGGTTGCATGGCACCAGGTCTTGATGTGTCCCCCTTGGACAAACATCACCTGGACCTCACCTGTTCGGAACACGAGAAAACGGCATTGGTGGGTCGATCCCGAGCATAGGACATCTGCCTTTGAGTGCCTCACTTTCCGGCATACTCCCCCCCCCCACTCCCCACCCTCACCCCTCTTGGCTTGCCTTCATCCCAAAAACGGCTGAGTTTTGCGGGAATTCCCCGGAGGTTCAGACCCCAAAATCCAAAACAACCCTAGTTCTTGTAGAGGATGGATAGGAAACCACCCCTTCTCCACCAAACCAAATCCAAACCACCAATTAGTGGGACGCTGATACAAGACGATCTCCAGCGCGACTTTTCTCGAGCTTTCGCCGAGTGAGAAAATCGCCAAGCAGAGCGATGGCTGGAGCCTAGATGAAGCTGCTGAACTGTCATGAATCATGGCTGGTCATCATTCTCACCAACAAGTCTGGAACAAAAACGAAAAACCAACAATGACAAGCAACACTAGAACACAAGACACAAACAACACTCAAACCAACCTTTGATGACCCTGCTATTGCGAAGAACGCAGGGGCAACGCACTAGCCGTCCCTTCGAAAGCTCTGAGGCCTCAGGATTTTGGCACCGGGCGCCGAACTTCCTAAGAAAGAAAATGAACACCAAGCAGCGGACTAGCTCGCGAAAATGGGTTTGTCGTCGGGTGCTCTCGCGCATTCATCGCGCGAAGCTCATGACCTTGCGGCGAAGGACTTCCCGGCAACACAAACCCAACCGGCCGAGGGGACGGGGGCGGGGGGGAGGTCAGAAGGCTGCGTCTTGCTTTTTTGGGGGTGTGCTTCTTGGTAGCATGGGTGTCGAGCTTTTTGCTGGTGAGTGGGGGAACTACACAGGAGAGATTCATCATACCTGGTAAAGGAGCCTACCTAAAGCCATGTAAACGATGCGTAGGGTACATACACGCACCGATTTATTTCTGGGACTGTCCCTACCCGGGTTTTGATTGTGGCTCTGAGCAAAAACTTGAAGCCTGGCATTGAAGCTGGTCCTCTTTGGGGGTTCTTCTCAAAGGAAAGCAAGGAGGTAACACCACTACTGGGTCGCTCAAAATGGCAACCTCCTTTATCCCAATTCAAAGTCCCTACCATCTGGCATCAGAATCTTGCAGACTGGGGTTGAACAACCCGACCAACAAAATGTGTCACGTTTCAAGCCTTTGCTGAAGAGACTGTGACACTAGACAAATGATCGAAAGGCCGCCACCGAAAAAGCCCACCATGTTCTCTCACTTCCTGAGTTATGGTTTGCCAAAGTCCGAACTTGTTGATTGGCACAAACATTGCGTCTTTGTTCCTACAAAAACACTTGCAGTGTCTTATGCTTGTTGTTTACAACACACACACACAACACACACACACCCACCCACCCACCCACCCGCCCACCCACCCACCCGCCCACCCACCCACGCACGCACGCCCGCACCCACACACACACACACACACACTTGCTTGATATACACACATTAGTTGTGTGTGTGTATATATTTTACACTTTCATATTATAATATATATATAAATATACCCAAACAGTTCAGCGCCTCTTGTGCGCTTTTTTTCTCGGGTTGAAGTCCAGGAACTCTTCAGGGCGTTTCGCACACCCCGCGCTCCGGTCCGACCGGACCGGAGGCCTCCTCGAGCGCGCTGCGGCCCTGCGGAGTTCGCTTTGAACCGCTGAAGGGCGCTAAGAGCCCTTTCCTTAAAGGGTTCTCCTAATTGAAAGAAATATACCCATGGGTGTTTCAGGGATCCTTACAAAAGCCCCGATCGAACATTGCAACTGGTCTATTTGGTGATTTCCATGAAATTATTTTGGTGTTGAAAAAGCAACATGTTTCAAATGGGCAAAATGTATCTTTTAAGGAGCCCTGTCTGTGTCTTTTTTTAAGGGGAACAGCTAGCTATGTTGGGTGTCTTTCTTTTTTTGTAAGAGGGGAACCACAGAAATTATGGCGTTGCTGTTGGTTTCCTGTAAAACACTTTATGTACTTTATGGGCGGGAGTAAGAAAAGAAAACAACTTGAAGCCTGGTCATAACACGCAGAGCGAGGACTTGCAATGGCATGTGGGTTATCACCATCTTTCTCAAGCTGCAAGTGCTAGACCATCCAACAACCTGTTAATATCCTCCCGACTAACATGGAATCTGACCGGAGGGGGGGGGGGGTTCTGGTTCGGACCATTGTGTCTAAATGGGGCTCTCTGGTGGGTGGTAGGGCAAGTGGTTCTTAGCAGAATCGCTGTCTTCTCCCTTACATAAGTGCGAATCCCGAACGGCCACCCAACAAAAGCGCCTGGTCATCCAGGTTCTGTCTTGAGCACTTTGACATCAAGTACTGTGCACCTAGTATTCCTCAGGGCGACATGATGAAGCATATCATGTTCTTGGGATGCTTGGACTGGGCGCAAAACAAGGTTGTTTTTTCGCATCACTATCGTGCTATGCCGAGTGAAGCGCGAAGGCAGAACTCGTGCGCAAGGCGTCTCTTGCTTGTAACTCTCAGCAGTTTGGATGTTGTTTTTTGTCGATCCACACCGCTAGGGCGGTCAAGGAGCACCAAAGGAGTCTATAACTACTCAAAATACATCTTTCAAGGAGCAAACTTCAGCAAGAAACTGCGCATCCACACTGGTTTCTGGAAAGAAGTGGTGCTGGAAGCAGGCCACACAAATCGCCAGCATTGTCCGCATTTGTCCCCGCTAAGCTTGTTTTTGTTTGGGGGGGTGGTAGATGGCTGCAAAGCAGCGGCAAGTCAGCCACAGGCTTCTGCTGTTCATCGCCGGGAGGACAAGGCCCATCTGCTTTATTTCTGAATCCATTGAAAGGTTTAACTAATCAAAGGGCACCCAAGCCCTTGTCCCTTTTGAAGCGCTGGCCGAAAAAAACAGATCCAACCAGCAGGGCCAATGTCGTCCAAGCAGGTTGTGCTGTCAATCGGGTCACTCCCATCCATGTCGAGCGTTTCTCCATCCTTAAAGGACCGAAAGCTTTCGGTGCCTGATCCAGGAACTCCATCGGCTCCTCCAAATCCTCCTGAAGGCGCAAACAGCGCCAAGTGACCGGCCCGGTTGCTGCAACGACCCCTCTGCAAAAAGCCTAACTTGTGGGTCCAAGGGAAAATCAGGTGTCTCCCAAACAAGTCGAAGTCCAAAAATCCAGGCAAATAGCCCAAAAGCAGAGTGGCTTCAAGGCGTATCTCTCGCATCCTGGAGCTTCTTCAGCGCGGAGGCGGTCTGCTGCCGAGACTCAACCTGAAAAGGCACAGGGCTGCAAGGGCTTTCGCCCGTGGCTCACCCAAAAGCGGGACAAATATGGCCTCCCCCACAAAAACAAAAAATAAAACAAAACAAGAATCTGCTATCTTCGATCTTCAAAAGATCCCTCAACATGCTCAAGCGTCAAGCATTATGCCATTAAAAATGCCGTAGCTGTGCTACCTTCGCACATGGGAGGGAAGCCATCTAGAGTCTCTCCGGGGACCTCAGAACGAACCACAAAGGATACAGGTGAAAACTCTGGTGACGGCTTTCTCACTGCGCTAAGTTGAACACCCACCCGGACGGGCCCCTGTGAACATAAATAAAGGTCTGCCCGAGAATCGGCAGAAATCGATTTGCACCGAGGCTTCAGGGAGCTCCCTTTATTTCCCCTGGAAACATTGCCCCGCAAGGAAAATCACTGAAAATTGGCCTGCGGTCAATGAATCCGTTGAGAAAATTGGCCCAAAAGGTGATGCGTAAAACCTTCGGACCTGCTTGGGTGTGGGTCAATATTAAACCACCAGGGGACCACAGGTTTTGGTCCATGTTTCCATTTTGGGGTTACCTATTTTTGACAACGACAGCCACTTGAGGAACCTGGTTTCAGCTTTTTGCCGTTGCTTGCGCGCCGGTCCCGTGAAAACAACCCTCGCGCCTGCTTCTTGTCGGCAGAGTTGAAGTAGAAGGCACGCTTCGAGAAGCACCACTCCTGTCACCACCCAGCGAAGCAGCTTCCATCGGCTTAATCCCTTCGGGAAACAAAGATATTTCCAGTAGTGCCAGATTCCCTTTAAAGCCAAAGAGGAAATAAAATATGTTCAGCAAATGGAAGCCAGGGGACTGCCTTTTTGAGAGCCCTGTTTGATCCGCTTGTAATGACTGATGCCAACCGTCGCTTTGTAACCCCCTTGCCGGAACCGCAAGTTAGACCTCGATTGCCCAAGGAGGGCAGCAGCCAGCCTGTAACCGGCCTGTTATCTGGCTTCCCTTGCACGCCAAGAGACAGGTACCATGTGGGCCGCGGCTAGTCAAAGGCGGAACATGTCGCGCGAAGACCCAACATACCCTGGGAACTTGAATTGAGATTTCTAAAGTTGGCACGCCCCCTTTAAGTGGTGTTTTACAGGAGCCGGGAAAGCGTGGCCTGGTGGTTCTATGGCAACGTAGGTGTGACCCCTTTTGGGCTGAAATGTTCGTCGTGCGGACCCCTGAAAGCCCCTTCCGCGATTGGAGTGATGGTTCTAATGGCCAAATCCCGGTCACCGGCATTGTTGCTTGCATCCTTGTTCTGGGTCTATTTCAACTGGACGCATCAAGAGCACCCGGCCAAACCAAAACAAACTGGGGGGGGGTCCATTTGGAGGCAAAGCCATGGCGAATGTGTGACTTTAACCTTAAACAGGTTGCAAGAATTGTTCCCAAGTCCCAGTAGGCACCCAGACCCCTGCTCATGTAGGCTCAATGTCGGCCTATGATCCATGCTAAACCAGGTAAAGCCTCCTACTTACACACCCAAACCCCCATTATAAAGGTGCATATCCATACACCAGCTAGAACCCCCTACATGGCCAACAAAAGCTTGGGTCGGGCGAATGTGTCCTTTTTAGCGGACCCTCAGAATGGAAGTCGGTTTGACTTTTTGGTGTCCCTCTAAAACCACCCAAAAAGGGGGTACCCTCAACAAAAAGACATCTCCACTGGATGGCAAATGGAAAAAAGGGCACCACATGGAGGTCTTGTGAACGGCAGTAGTCCCTTCAGGTGATGGTTTTTGCCCGGTTGGCCCAGGCCCAAACAGAGTAAGAAACCAACCAACCAACTCAGAAGAAGGGTACCAACTCAGAAGGCTGGGTGAACAGCAGTGCCTTCAGCTATGGTTCTTGCCCAGATGAACCCGTTCCACCCGAGAAGGGGGCAAATTCCAACTCAGAAACCGAAAATCGAGCGAGAGTTGGTTGGAGCTCCAAGTTGCCTCCTCTCCTCGAGTTGTTGCAAGGAGCCCCGTGCGATCATCAAGGAGGACTCGCACCTCGGAGCTCGAAGCTGGCGCCAGGGCGCCAGGTGGGCGTTGGATGACCTGGGTGACCTGGGTGTCTGGTTGGTTTTCAGGACACCCCTTTAAGGTGTGGTTTTGAAGAGACGCCGGTTTTGAAGGGACGCCAAAAGGAAACCAGACGTTTTGTTTAGGGTGCCCCATTTGTAAGACACAGCCACTTGGCTCATTGATCCGGAAAAGGGCTTTCTGGCTGGCTGAACGGGTATGAACCGGGCAAAAGGATGTGACGAAGTGCCAAGGATGATGCTTCAGTGGAACGCAAGAAGCTGTGATGCACTTTCTGCGAGCCAAACATCGATCGTGCAGCGCTGACAAACTCGAGTTGGGCTGCGCACGTGGCCCAACTTAAAGTTGAACCATTGTGTATCGATCGGCTTGTCTCCAAGCCATTTGCGGCTTATTTCAACTTCCACTTGAGGTGGATCGAGAGCAAGCTGTGTTAGGTAACTCCCAGATAGCCCCCAGAGAATCCCCCATTACACCAGAGTTACTTTCGATTTTGGCTATGCATTCTAGCCCCAACCCATCCAAGTAAGTCCAAGATAGAAATTTTCAGGTCCCTTGGGTCCGGGCGACTTGTTCTTGGAGCACTTGTCTGCCCAGGCACCCACAGCTTTGCCCCCAGCCCGCGAGGGCGACTGCACCTGGAATCCGGAGAGAGGAATGAATCTGCCCACTTTCCGTGGGTTTCCTTTCAAGACTGAAAGAACGGTTGATTCCTTTTCCATTCTTTTCAACCATCCTTCTTTTCAAAAACCGGATCCGTTTCCCTGCGTTTCTGGAGGTTTTCTAGAAAGAAGGATCCCTGAAAAGAATGGGGAAGGTAGCACTAGAGAAAGGGGTTCCTATAGTTGCATTTCCATCCAATGCACCAGCCGGCCGAAAGCGGCCACAAGCGTTCGGCTGGACGCACGGCCTGTTCCGAAGTGAAAAACGTATGGTCGTGCTTGTCACGGGTAGAATTCCCGACCAAAAAATCCTTTTTGTTTGGCCAAATGGTTTCCAGGGAAAACCTTTGTTGCCAAGCAGTGCACCCCGAGCGCCCAGTTGTTTCGATTCGTGGCTGTTGCCAAACCCGGGTGTGCTAGAAGACACAATGGGACATTGGTACAGTTTCATCCGGGGCCTTTCTGTTCATCGCTTGGTTTATAGGCGCACCCCTTTAAAAAACATGGCAAAGTTGGTTGTTCTCGCCCAAACCCTCCAACCCCACCCCATCCCCACCCCATCCCCACCCCTGAAAACCCAACCTGGAAAGGCTGGGGAGGGCAAACGGCGGAAACGCACCGCTCTCAAAATTCTGAGCGCCGCGCAATGCCGATGGACCCAACCTGTCTCGGGCCAGTGACTCTTCAGGGTCTGGTAGTTTTGGCTTGTTGTGTGGCCTTTGTGTTGATCATTGATGGTTTTTGGATGTTTTCCTCCCAAATCTGTGAACATGTGTCTTACTTCCCAAGTCCCCCTTCCTTTGCCCTCTCCCTTGAATGAGGCCACGTTCGCCTACCCTGGAAAAAAAGCGGCGAGAGCGGCCATCCCCAAACTAGCGGTCCCCCCGCTCAGCATGGGTAAGCTCCTGGAAGAATTTCTTATGAACTTCGTTGCTGTTTGCCGTGAACTGGTGACCCATGCCAAACCAGTGGCCACAATGCCTCAACATCATGGACAGGCAGGGTGTGTGATATGACTTGCAATGAAAACATAAGGCTTTGTCTCCAAAAGGGATAATCCCAAACATAACCAACAAGGTTGCCCCCAAAAAAAAACAAGCCGATATAGGCCCCGTCAAGACAACAACAAACAGCAACAGCAAAACAGGATGCATCAATCGAATCCAAACTGCCACAGCTTCATTCAGACACACTCGGCATATTGGCTAGTCTGTGATTTCTGTAGGGTCATGCCTAGTCCCCAGGTGGTATCAAATAGGGTAGCACTCCCCTCTGACTCGTCATTGGTTAAGATCATTTGACCCATCCATGGCAACCAACTTCATGCAAGAACCATCTGCCAATTTCACCCGACTCTAGGCTGAGTCACTGAGGCGAAGGCTGAGGGGCTCACCAGAATCGACCTGGCCGATTTGGATTTCGCGGTCAATCAGCTTGCCACACATGAGCAGCGGTTTCCTAAGTCCACTGACTTCTGCTTTTACTAACATGATTAAACAGGTTTATATGGCATAACCTATGGCTCCATTTTGGGGTAGATGAACATTCCATTTAGCCTTCTATTTTGATGTTCACCAGGGGTACAGGGTTTTGACCCACAGCCATTCTTAGCAGCCCTTGGCAAGGGTTACAAAGAAAACCTTGTTCTCACAATCCAAAACTTTGTCCTCTGAGCCATCAAGTTCTCGGCAAAGCTTGCCAAGGCTTGCTAAGGCTTAGCAAGGCTTGCTAGGCCTTTCCAAGGCTTGCTGGCATCTTGGACAGCTTTGAGCGCTTCCAGCGGGGGGGGGGTGGTCAGCGGGGCTGCCATAGGACCCCATGATAAAAGTCTCAAAGTCTAAGAACTCGTATGGCACGTGGCTGGGCACTGGCGCAAGGTCGCTCTGAACCATTCCCGCCATGGCATCTGCCTCACGCCGTCGAAGTCGCCGCTCTTCAGCAACCCCTCCGCGCCCTTCAGTGAGTTCAACGCCACCTGGCGGTTTTGCGTCACCAGGAAGCCAACCATCTTTTGACCATGTATTTCCAAGCAGGTACCCCTTGTGGGCTTGTTCTAAGCCAAACCACCAATTGACCATCAGGCACAAGGATTTAAAGCGGTGACTTTGAACAGCCTAGCCTGTTAATTTTGTTGCATGGAAATAGAGTGTTCACTTTGAAAGACCAGGCCCCCCATATGTTGCATGCAAGACAGAGCTACAAACGGTGCCAACCATATCCGTGCCAACTTCGCGGATGACCTGTTGCAGCTCCTATACTCTGAACCACATCACAATATCATGACCTCAAAAAGCCACCCATCATTCGTTGGGCAGTCCAATTCTCAAACAGGACGTTCGAGCCATCACTCGAGCTACCACTCCGCATCAGCGAGCAAGTCAAGATGGGGACGCAGCGCGTGCAGTGTTTGAGTCACATGCACACGTCCCAATAGTCTGGCGAAATAATCACCACTGCTCAGGGAAACAAGTCATCTGCTATTCTTTTCTAAAACAGAAATAACCAACACTAATCTCACTTCCTGAGTGGATGGGCCAACCGAAATCCAAACTTTTGTCGTACCACTAAAATTGAAATCCCAAGAAGTTTAAAGTCCAGGAACTCACGGAGTGAGACGGAAACTCACTTCCTGAGTTGATTGGCGAAAAACAACAGTTTCAACGGTTCATGATCTGAGGGAGTGAGACAACCAAAATTACCTGCAACCAACAAAAACAGCAAAAGGCGGAACAATTCCCCAATGAGCCGGAACTCAATCCCTCCCCCCACCCACCCACCCCTCTCAAGCCTGCGCTGCCTGATCCAGCGAAAGGCCTCCAGAGAGGCATTGTTTTCCCTTCCCAGAAATCGGCAGGTGCCTGAAACAAGGCCAAGCGTTTGGGTTCCTCAGTGTCCACGGAACGGACATTGGCACGTCCATGTTTTGGAGATTTTTCATCATCTCAAAGGCAGGGTCTGGTTGCTTGGAAACATAGCAACCTCACCAGTTTGCTAAAAATGCTTGAGCTTGGACACTGGCTCACAAGCATGGTGTCAAAACGGTCACTTGAATGCTCAGGACATAAAGCTAAGGAACCTAAAACCTTGGCCTTGCGTTCTTCCCCCTTGGAATTGGACCAAATTGCAAACTTCCAGCAGCCCTCGGCAGAGCTCCCTAACAATTCGTTCTGGAACTGGCATCATAAAAGCTGGGCTGTTCCAAAGTAGGGTTCGCCAACCCGTTTTTCCAGAATTCCGCTTGGAAACATCGCCTTAAACAGCAGCCCTGCAGGCCTGCAATGTTCTAAGGAATAAATTGGTTTCACGGAGGACGTATCGCCTGATTCTCACACGCCAGGATGGTCCGTTCCTACATGTGTGTAAAGTTTACGATTTTCCGGGTGTGGCATTCCAACAAACAACCTACACATTTGGAGGCGCATACGTATATTGTTGATGTAGTAAACCCTGGCCAGGTGGAACAATCTAGAGCTTTGACTTCTGTCCGTCTCAAGCTCAGGAATCCTCGCAAATACCTGGCTTCCATGTGGATTCCTTTCGAAACTATTCCAATCTCGGTTGCTTTCTGCTCCCCTGCTAAAATCATAAAAGTTTAACTTAGTGGTTTAATGGAAAAGTCATTAGTTGGCAAAAAGTGAAAGTCCTAACATCCAAGCAAAATGCACCAAAGCCAAAATGGGTCCGTTGTTTTCGGACAGCTTGAAATCAGCACGCCAAACTCGCAGTGCGGTTGAGGCGCTCTTCTCCTGGTCCCACGCAGACTGCACCGCCGCTTGCTCAGCCTGGGGTGTCACACCAATCTGTACTTGCAAGATGCTGCCACTGATAGGAAGTGTGCCAACCTGACACAGGTTCAGGCACTGGTGGGGCGACAACCCCTATGTCGAGCAGGAGGAAACCTCCGCAGGTCACGACGCACACCAGCCAGCCAGCCTTCAATTCAACAGGCATACGTACTTTGCTTTTTTGTTTTGGGGCTTCCTTACTTCCCCGAATAAATCGAATGTTGCGTCGAACAAGCAATGTGCGCTAGTCGCAGGAACAAAAGAAAGGAATACATGACGTACTTGTTGGGTGTTGCTTTCTCAACTTCACTAAGCACCTTGCGGCAAAAGGCCTCGACACTGTTGCCAAAAAGTTTCGGTCGCATCCAAACTCCATAGATCATGCCTGCATGAGTTCCGCAAACGTTGACATTTACCGTGAATCTCTTGAGCCGTTGCTTCATGAACAGATGTGCCGGCAAAGGGCATCTCACCTCTGGTCCGATTCTACATGCTTGTCCTGTTTGCAGCCTCTGCGACACCAAATTCACTAGGGCCGTGCGTTAAGGGGACATTCTCAAATGGAATTCATGAATGGTTTTCTTCAGGCAGCTGTATCTCTTGGTTGTATCTCTGGGGGTGGAAGCTTTTGGACCTGGATCTTCTCGGTCCAAAAGTGTCCCCAAGCCCCAGAGATGCAGCTGAGATGTTTGTTGCTTAGACTCACTTCCAGGTGTGTGTTTTTTTTGGGGGGGGCCCCTTTGTTGGTAGCTCTCAGAGGAAATCCAAAAGGAAAACCACGATTTTGGCTTTCATGAGTGAACGGCCCAAGATGCCCAGACAATGATGTGACAAGTCCAAACTTTCTGTTTGACATGCTCTTCCCCAAAAGTAGAAAAATCCCAAAACTCTTTGGCTCACTTCCTGGGCGGATGGCCCAAAATGCCCGAACAAGTCCAAAAACTCAGAGTGAGTAAACGGAACGCTCTGCGCCGGTCACCACCGAATCACTGCCCTCCGTGCCTCAATCTCCTCGCGGGGCCTCGACACTTGGCTGCCACTGCCCTGGCAAAAGGTCGAGCAAGACCGAGACTGGCTCACGTGTCGCCGTTTTCGCGATGCAAAGGGGCCCCAGTAGCTTTGGCTATTGGCCAAATTGTTGCTTTTTTCTGTTTGGCCCTTGTGATAATCTAAGAATAAAAACGTAGGGAGCGTAGCATATACTTTGTATTTCGTGGAGGCTTTGACCTTGGATTTGAGTGGAACCTTGCGGATGCATGGGGGGGGGGGTTCTCCAAAACAGATCCGGATCCAGTGTGAAATGCGGCGCCCCCTTTGAATCAACCAGGGGGTCGTTAATCCTGGGGCAACATTAATTGTGCCCCCGGCCGGTATATGTGCTTCTGGGCCCTTTCTGTATTGGGTATTCTTCTGAGTGCCCATCCCTGATGTATCTGTGTTCATGCTTTTGCTTGCCTGCTTTCAACACCAAAAAAAAACATATGGTTTCAGGAAATCCCCTTGTGAAGCAGAAGACAGACTTAAGCCACACCGCAAGAAGACTCTTCTACAGGCAGGGTCTTTCTTAGGTAAGTGGCCATGAAAATCCAAATCATGCCCCCAGTGAACATCCCAATCCCCACTAAAATAGGTTCTAAAATGGGTGGTGAATTCACCTACCAACCAAAATGGGATCCCAAAACGGTTTTGACAACCACAGTCAAGTCAAAGTTCAGGGGAGCAGGTGGCAGCAACGCTTCAAGCCTGATAGAACTCCTCCATCATGGGGATGGCTGCCTCTCGCGTTTAGCACCCCCAAATGGGATGCAAGCGGCAAGAAAACAACCAGGCGCAGCACCTAAAATGGGAGGCACACGTCAAGCAAAACAACCAATCATGGGAACCCTCATTGTTATTTTCTTTTTTCCAGTACCCCCCCTCCAACTAACATAGCACCAGACATGGGGTCCCTTGAAGAGGAAACCAATCTTCCAGGTACCCAAAATGGGATCCCAAAACGGTTTTGACCACCACGGCCAAAATGGATCATCTTTTCCAGAGCAGGCGGAAACCTGCATCGCTCCTCCGCCGGCGCGGCTCCGCCCAGCACCAGCAGCACGGCCCGGCGCTGCAGCTGCCGCACCTCCAACCAAGCGGTCAAAGAAGCGGCGAAAATGACAACAGGGAAAAGACATAGGGTAACCAAGGAGACAAAGGGGAAACAAAAGGAAGGGGTTAAAAGACAAATTTCAAATTCAGAAAGTGGAGAATCTGTGACAAACATGCTGCGTGGTTGCTTGGCGCACACCTGCAACTGCGCGGATCAAGTGCACAAGTATGTCATACTTATTGACGTGGGGTTCTGCGAACAGGGTGCTGAGCAAACATGGGCGCGGCGCATGAAACCATCAGGCAGGAAAGCATGGCTTCAATGCGGAGGGCAAGCAGACTCCTAACTGCCTGGTGAATGGAAACGTCCCTTAAACCCAGCCAGCTAAAGCCAGCTTTCGCATTTGGACTGCTTCAGTCTTTCAAGAAAACCATGTTGCGATCGTGCCTCCAGCACGAAGCCGCCTTGGCAAAAAAGCGCCAGCTTCAGAGAACAGGATACCAGCCACGACTATCTGGCAAAGCCACGTAGACAAGAGAAGAGGGGCTAGAGATAACAGGGGTCACTGGATTTCTCCAAATCAACGTTGATCAATTTGCTGGTTTCCATTGACCAAAACCATCGCCACTTTGGGAGGCTCCTTGTAGAAAAATGGGGGACACCCTTGGATACTCCCGCAAGTTAGTCTCACGTTGATTCCACACGAAGCTCCTTTGCCTCCGCAAAGAAATCATAAATGGCCTGCCAGCTGCGGCACCCGTGCATTCACAAAACTGGGTTGTCTTCAGATCCCCCGCTAAAGGTGACTAACTTTTAGTGGCTTAAAACCACATCCCCACTAAACACTAAAAGGCTAAAAAGCTAAGGGGATGGCTGGGAGCCACCAAGAAAAAACATGTCCAATGTAAGGACGCCAGTTGCCAGCGAATAGGTCACCAGTCCAGCTAGGCCAATCCAGGCATGAGACTTTCCACTGGTTCACTGAGGCTGACGGTCCTCAGCATCACTGCGCTTTTGGCTTCTTCCAAGTGACAGCTCTGGGCTCAAAACGCATATTTCGGGTTTTGAAAGCAGGTTCCAACGAGGCGGTTTTTGCAGGGTATTCGGGCTCTCTAGCTCCCTGTGGAACCAGTTGGGATGGATGAAACCCCGGTAACTCGTTGGATCACGAGATCAAACCATCGACATCGACCCGGGCACCCTGGCTGGAAGCCAGCGCAAAGAAGGCCTCGGAGCACTTCGCGGCGAGGGGTCCCTCATGGGCCCCTCACAAACAGGGCTGTGGGAAATGGAATCCACTTCTGTGATACAACAAAAAGGGCCTCCTAAAGATTGACCCCCCATATAAAGAGGGGATTCCCTTGTATCGCAGAAGTGGGGGATAAACCCCGAGCGATCCCACAACTCTGCTCACGAACCAAGCGGTGCAAATCGAACCAAATGGTGGAAGGCCCCAAATCGAATGGTCTCAAATTATCAAAAAAGGCCACCAAATGCTGGCTTCCTCAAGGAAAAAAATCAAATGGGGGAGGAATGGCCTCAAAACTCTCAAATCCCAAACCAAATGGTGGAAAGCCCCAAATCGAACCCCAGAGAGGGTACTGTTTTTGTGTTTTTCGTAGGTCCCATTGTTGCATTTTGACGGGTGCCAACTTCTTTTGGGGGGAAACCCCTTTGAACCATCATTTCGAGGGTCATCTTGAGGATGTCGCTTTAGAGGATCCAATTGAAGGGCCTTGATTGGAGGAGGTTGGTTTGGGTTTGGCTTGGTTTTGCTTCGCTGTGGTTGGAATGCTTGAACCGCTGACATCTGAGCCATAATTGCGTGCCAGTGAAGCACCAAGAGCCATGAGCATGAAATGCACGAATCAACGCACCTCTCGCACTCGTCGAGACGAACATGACCAGCCCACGAAAAGCTGAATGAAATCACCGGCTTCAGGTTCCAGCTTCCACCGAAACCAGCCGGGCAAGATAGCCACAAAAACACACAAAAACACACACACTCCCAAATGCCTATCAGCATTTTACTCTCCACCGAGATACCATCAGATGGTTGAAACGTCGCTGTAAAGGTCCGCCTCGCGCTTCCTGGGGCTTCCTCCCCAGCCCAAAACGGCCGATCGTCTTAAGCTGAGGAGCCCGGCCAAGAAGCCGGCGCCTGTGGGAAGAAATTTTGCGGCACCAACCATGAAAAAGCTTTGAGTCTTTTTTGGGAGAAACCTTAATGGGGCGGGCAGGGAGGGGTTTGGGCCCAAGTTAGGCCCTTGTTAAGCCCTTAAAGCCTTATTGGGCTGCCCCCCTCCCTCCCTCCAGGCCCCATCCATGAAACCTGGGATTTGACGGTAGGGGCTAAGTTATTGCAAGATGTGTCTGGGTAAGTGGATGCTCACCTCAAATACCAACAACTTATCAACCTGGCCGAACACCCAAGCAACATAAGAGGCGCATCGTTACACACATGATTCTCCAATGATCATGACTTGGCTTGTTCTCAGTCCCCCAAAACCCATGTAAATGCCTTCAGCACGACTAATATCATTGTTGAAGGGTCATTCGAACCTTATGGCATCTTAGAAGGATTTGGGGAACCTGGGTGGCAAGGGGGTACCAAACATCTCCTAATACAAGGGCAAATGCTGCGTGAACGAACCACTTGTCAGCAAGCCTGGTGCCATGCAATGCCATGTGGTTGTAGGCCCTCCTGTATGGGTGTGGCTGAAAGTTTAAGAGCTGGGGCAAACCGCAGGTTTTAGTCTTTGGTTCCATTTACACAGGTGCCATTTTGGTTCATGCTTGTGAGCCACAGCCATATTCTTCCTGGGGGGGGGGGGGGAAAATTGGCCCCGCGACCTTTGACGAATCAGCCACCCCGGACCCCACTGCACGTGCCTCGAACCACTGAGCGCCTTGGGATGCGAAGGGATGCCGAAAGTCGCAAATCGTACGGACCAAAGGTGCCATGCCTCCCTCTAATCATGGTTCCCTCAGGTCTAAATCCCTGCCTTTGCTTAAGTCCCCTGGAAAGAAAAAAACATGTCCAGGAGTGATTCCCTTGACAACCGGCAGGGGCAAACAAACAAACATCTCAACCAAATGGAAGAATCCCGTACTAAGGGGGTCCATGGCCACATCTGCTAAACCATGAGCGAATCGGTCGAATGACCATAGCACAACGCTTGTGCCTTGCAAGTCGGGAAATCCTGGGGGAAGAATTGAGAGAAAAGTCACAGATCGAGCTCCGACTGGCTCTCCGCATGTGAGGACTTGCTCACTGAAGCTCCACCTCAAGGTTCATTCCAACCGTGATGGATGAAAGAGTGCTTGCCGCAGATCGGGTCTTGCAGGGTATCTGCTTTTGTTTGCTTTTAAAGAAGGAAGCCAGAGGCCAACTACACATTTTGGAGCTTGACAAACCCATTTGTGTAACGGAGTGCGGCTTGGCAACCATGGTTTGCTACAAGGGCTCTCTCATAACCTGCGATACCGACCATAGGATGGTTCCAGTTGAAAGCTGGTCCCTCCGCGCTACGCCAGCCAAACGCAGCTCTGGCCTCCTCTGAGAAGACCCCGCCTGCGCACTGAAACCGGCATGGCGCGAAAGGCTCCGCGCGCCGGGAAAAACTTTGAAACGGAAACGCGGCCGAGAGATGCTCGGCGGGGTGTGGCACAACGCGGGTTCTTGCACGACGCTCACCCGGCAATTGCTGGCACGTTGTTCACACTCCCTGATCCAGACATAAGCGCCGTTGCCAAGCTCATGTTGCTTCCTCACACTTTCAAGTGATGCCCTTGCCCCCTCATGTTGCATCATGGTTACATATGGGTGATGCTACATAATGGTTACCTATGGGTCTGTCGTTGTTTGAAGGGTACCCTTTTTTGGTGCGGTCTTTTCAAGCGGAACAGAGGGAAAGCCCACATATCCTTGGGGTCCCAAGCTGGTAGGTTCCGCTGATATCCATGTCTGGCCAATGGCCTCAGAGCCGAAGCTGAAAGCCAGGCAGCGAGTTCTTGGCATTTCGTCCGATGGGAGAAGGACCTGGTTTGACCTCGTTTTGCACCAAACCAGGACTGTTGTCAAACAAAGTGGAGCCCTTCTTCGAAAAAACTAAAAAAGTCGGGCCCCTACTTCTCGCAAAACCTTCACATGCGAGCCACGGCCTTTCGTTTGGAAGGAGGGGGACTTGGACTTCATGTGAATTTGCGTGAGTCCAGCACCCTGCCATCCGCGTGAGGAAGCATATGGGTGCGGTTTCGAAATGAAACTACTAGGGGACTGCAGGTTTTGGTCCATGTGTCCATTTACCAGGGTTCCCAGAATGGGTACCGATTTTTGACAACCACAGCCATATCAAGTAAGGCTTGAGGAAAGAAACGTCGGAACCTGCCTGCGGGGCTCTTATAGTCCCAAGGGCTCGTCACCTCTGATGGAAACGCCCGCCATGCGACGACACCCGCACCCAGCCGCTCTTTTGATCCGAGCGGAGCATACAGCGCGGAAGAGCCTGCCACACACACACACACCAGAGCTCCCACTTTGAGGTTGCCATTGTTCGTGTCCAAAAAGGAAAACCGATGCCACTGTGGGGGTCCCTTGCGCCACCCAGAGGAAGCGCCCTATAAAATGATCCAAATGGTGCCGTCTTAAACAAGCGGAAGGGGAAATATAGAGCGGCTGGGCACAGACCCAAACATAGCAACAGGCTGGGGCAGGGCGCAAATAGGCTGCTTTGTGGCCGGCTATCTGTATGACGAGGCATGATCTGCCATCAGTGTAGTCTTACATCAAAATCTACAAAGTTTTTGTGTTGGTAAAGTGCGACAGGTTTCTGTGACCATGGCACATGCGCGCCACCTGAGCAACTTCTGACTTGAGCAAACAAAACAAACAGCAAGTGTTTGTGCAAGAGTGCAATTGAACAAATACGAAACAATGATATAAACTCTTAGGAGCAACGAAAGGCACAACTGGATTGGCATTGCCTTTAAGCTTTGATAGGCGAAACGCCGAGTTGTACATACCTTGGGCGGCTGCGTCATTGTCGAGTCTCTGCAAAGCGCAAAGTGTCACACAGCGTGCCTACGTAGACGTGAATGCGTTTCGGCCCAGCAGGTCGCTCACCGCAAATACCGCGTAACATCATGTCACAAACACACACACACACACACACACACACACACACACACACACACACACACACACACACACACACACACACACACACACACACACACACACACGCGCGCACCCACACGCACACACACGCACACACCCACCCACCCACCCACCCACCCACCCACCCACGCACGCACGCACGCACGCACGCACGCACGCACGCACGCACGCACGCACACACGCACACACACACACACACACACACACACCCACGCACGCACGCACTTACGCACGCACGCACGCACGCACGCACGCACGCACGCACGCACCCACACACACACACACACAGACACACACACACACACACAGACACAGAGAGACACACACACACAGACACACACACACACACATACACACAGACACACACACAGACACACACACACACACAGACACACACACACAGACACACACACACACACAGACACACACACACACAGACACAGAGAGACACACACGCACACAGACAGACACAGAGAGACACAGACACACACACACAGCTCAAAGTAATTCAAAGGCTAAATAGTTGCGGCAAATATGTGATCTGCGAGAAACTGCAAACAGCAATCGACACTGTTCCAAGTTTTGTTTCCCCAAGTTAGACTTAAACCCAGTCATTGGTTTCCCCAAAAGAGAAGGCCGCGCATCAAGTGTTTTCTTGATATTTGCTCAACAAGTGCTGACATACTCCCAAAACAAAGGCCGTTGACGCTGACCCCTGACGCGCATGCCAAACATGCCTCTTGTCCTTGATGTGCCATGTTGGATTACCCGAGCAAGCCAAGACTCATGTAGTGCGGTGCATGCTTGGGCGGCGATGGATACAACTATGCTGCAAGTCTGGCTGTGAACGGCGAAACATCTTCTCACAAGTGGCAATCTGACATATCAGGAGCAGCTTTGGGACTTGCACAAGGAGGGAGCCTTTGCTGCTCTGAGGACGCCAGAGATTTGGCAACTAAGGAAACACATTCTATTGCTGAAAACCACAAGTCGCGCTGACTCGGGGGGCAAACCTCTCCAGCACAGATTCCTCCACACCTCCCCAGCCCACCTGTTGCCAACCGGCACGTCAACAACATAAAGGGCCCCGACCTGAGTCCGAATCTGCAAGTGCAGCAAAACTCCCGGCCAGGCTTGCGCCAACCGCTTCTTGAAACACGTTCAAACCACTTTTTCAAAAACCCTGGGCTGCCCTCAGATCCCCCGCTAAAAGTTTAACTTTTAGTGGGTGAAATGGAAACCGCCACTAAACACTAAAAGGCTAAAAAGCTAAGGGGATGGCTGGGAGCCACCAAGAACCTGTTGGCTTCCCTGAGTGGCAAATGGGTTGGTGATGTCAAGAAGTTTTTGCCCAACCCTGGTCTAAACCCACGGCCGTTTGCGCGAAACGGTTTCGGAAGCTACGCTTCCATTCAACTTGGTGGTTCCTTGATCCCTTGTGTCCGATACTGTGGATGGACCAAACCATTTCGCACCACCGTTCAGAAACCCTGGTTTCTGATTCGATTCTTGTGTAAAAACCAACAACCTCGGTTTCAAAGTGGTGCAAAATGGATTTTGTCCATCCACAGTGTGTCAAGAATCCAACTCTAAACTCTAAAAGTCTCAGTCTGATGATGCGGTACCCAAAGCAACGCAACTCTCTCGGAACTTCTCTCATCCCAGATTCAAACTCCTTAGATTTCAGCTCCGCGCGCGTTTCACAAAGGGTGCCAAACAAGAAAGGCGCCAGGTGACCTTTTGGAAAAATAGATGGCCTACAATGGGGACCCATCCAAACCAGTGGAACGCGTCTATTTCTTGCCAAACTACCCAACCCTCTGCAAAAAGTTCAACTTTTTTGTGAATCCAATGGCAAAATCCACAGCTTCCCAAAAGTTGTACAAAGTCCAAAGATTCGCAAAATTTCAGCAAGGTTCACGAGGGATTTGTCACCTGGGACCCCCGGCAATGGTGGATGTAGTGCCACCTACCGGCGCATGCCGGCGCATACAGTCAAAATGGCGGACCCCTGCTTGCTGTTTTAGACGTGAAACCAAAAGCAAACAATCCAGAAAATCCCTATTCTGAGAAGCCCCAAAAAAAGAGGTTAAGCTTTAATTGGAGACAAAACCAACCATTCAGAGCAATCGCACGGGGAGAAATTGTAGCCTTATGGTGACCAGTAGTGACTTAGCGTGACCATTAGGGGCCAATGAGGACCACTAAGGAACATTACCTTCCCATGGCTCCCCACTAAGGGTCAACGTTCCAACTAGGTACTTGCCAACCATTGGTATGATTGCAAACCACTTTGACCTTTGCAGTGTCCCCGCAAAAAAAAAAAAACAAAAAAACAAGGACCAACACACTGCAAATGACAAACATGTTGAACGAACAGGATATAGATATAGGGAGATAGATTGTTTATTATATATATATATATATTTATATATTATATATATATATATGTTCCCGTCGCCCGTCGTCCCCAGCCCCCCGCCCCCCCCCCCCATGGTATGGGTCCATCCAGGGGGGGGGGACCCTGGCCCCCCCGCCCCCGCCCCCCACAGGGGGGGGGGGGCTTGTGGGGCGGCTTGCTCCAGTGTGCGCGCGACGTCGTGGGCGCATTTGCGGCGCTGTTCGTGTGATGCGCTGCAAGGCGATTTGCTCATTTTGCAGCACGCGACAAGTTGCAGCGCTGTCGCAATTGACAGTGCGCGATGCCACGACGCAGTTTGTGGTTTGCAGCGCCACAACCAAGTGCCAACCAAGTGCGCTGCAACGCGCCAGTGGCAACACACTTTGCTTGCTACCCCAGCGGGCGGTGTGGGAACCATGGTCGCGGGGTGCTTTGCGGTCACACTGTGCTACCATTCTCCCCACCCCCCATTCCCACAGGGGGGCGGGGGGCTTGTAGGGTCACACTGTGCTACCTTCTCGACTGAGCATGACCATTGGGGGGGGTGGGGGGGGGGGACCAAGGAAGCCTGGAACATATATATATATATATATGTATATGTATTTTTTTTTTTAAAAAAAAAAAAAAAAACTGCTACCAAGCCAAAGGCTCAGTCTTTGAAGTCCGAGGGCCCGGCAGTATCCGGGAGAGCCCAAACTCGTGCCGGCTGCTGGCCACCTGGCCAAACTTTCTGGGCCTTTCGTTGGGTTCCGTGGGCTTGAGAGGCAACTGCCCCGGTGTGCTTGGAAGGAAACCATTGGACCTCCACCCTGCTTGCTTGCTTGCTAGCTTGTTTGCTTGTTTGCTTGTTTGTTTGTTTGCTTGCTTGTTTGCTTGCTGGCTAGTTGCTTGTTTGCTTGTTTGTGGCTATGACCAAGAGGATTCGCCTTGTTGCTGTGATAGATTCTCTGGAGACTTGTGGGCCAGAGCTGCCCCCGAGGGGTTCCGGCTGGCAGGCCACGGAGAGAAAGGCCCGCGGTTCAGCTGGCAAGTTTGGCACAATGTGCGATATGAACCTGGCGGATGAATAGAGGCGGTGCGACCCATGCGAAGGATTCCCGTTTAGATGGGACAACCCCCCTAAAATTCCCGGCTCTGTCCAAAGCTATCTATCGACTACAATGATTTACTTGTTGGCACAGCAACATGGATGAACTTCAAATGCTTGATTGTCCTTCTACAAAACGTGTGCTTCCACAACAAGGGAAGCCTGTCTGGCTGTCGCAGAATTTGCTGTCCAACCTGTCTACAAATTGGAATGCCCATCATGGGATTCTGAGGCTCGGGAAGGCTGGACGTGTGTGCCCCTGCGCTCAGCCGCTTCTTTGTCTCCCGGCTGCTTCATCGATGCTCTTAAGTTGGCTGCACCGCTTTCAAGGCGCAAAGTGACAAACTCCCGGGAATCGCTCTGGGAGGAATAGAGGGGGGTCAATGTCGAAAGAGGTGCTGTCCGCATCGACAGGCTCGAGACCCGTTGCACGACCAAAGACTGTCTTCGCAAACTGAACACAGTTGTTCCTGAAAACTGTGTATGGTGCTCTTGTCTCCGACTCGGCCATGCGTTCCAAAGTGGCGATGTTGATCTCAGGAAGCACCGGAAGCTCGCCAAGCTTGACGGGAGAATCTCGTGCTGTGCCCTCCCATTGCATGATCACTTTGTCGCTCCGCTTGGAGCTGTTGAGGCGAACTCCATTGGATCCTTTTTCAAGTGACCACCATAAGCCTCCTGCTTCAAACACGACATACATGTGCTGTACAAATATCCGAATCCTGCATTGCCACAACTCCATGTGGCCGGTGAGGAATGTTGACCTTTTGGTCCGCTGGGACATATCTGTTGATTCGTCTTCGAAATAGTAGGAAATGAACGGCACATAGCCATAACCAGCTCTGCAT